CCCCTTGTAGTAGCAAGTGTAATTTATCGATCTTAATAAATAGTCTTCATATATAAAACAACTTGTGGAACTACTGTCTCTTTCTTAATTATCAGTACGGGTTGTTCTAATAAGAAAGTCTCAATTAGAGGTTTAACCATAAAAAATAAAAGTCTTAATGGTGGTTCAACTCCTGGTTGTCATCGATATGTTCCATCGTAAACGCCTAAACGCACCAAGCCAGGGAACTTAATAATCCCCAAAGTACTCAATTAGTATTAAACTCTGAACCAATTAATTATTTACGAAACTAATAATTCTTGACCAAGTTGATATACCAACCAATAGCGACATCTCTTTGCATCTTTTTTTTTTGTGTGTACCTATTGTGTGAAATTAGGTTTAATAACCACCTAAAACTTAAGTCGATTATATATTCTGAAATATATATATATATATATATATATATATATATATTTCTTTGTTATGCAGACGGATTAGATGGCTTAGTCGTTTATAAAATAGAGATTGATCGATCATATGAGAAAAACTGTAACCAAATCAAGAACAAAATTATAATTAAAGTACTAACTATGGATGATATAGGAGTTGTTAAGATAAATAAAGTTGTTATAAATGACGATTGAATGTAGAAATGACGATTAAGATAGGTTCGTCCTTATTGCTGAATGATTGATTAGGGTATGATTCAACTAATTATAAAAACCTCTGGAATTTTCTGTAACCGGTATACAATTATGTTTTCGAGACAACGACATTGTACTAGCTTAGCTAGTCAATTATTCATCATTGGACTTAGGCATGATATAGAGCATTAGTACAAAAATATCTCTAAGTCTCTGGTAATACATGACTTAAACGGTAGTTTAGTTGACGAATTAAGTTTCCATTTGTGTTTTAGTTTCCGAAAATAGAGCACGTATGTACAGTTTATAAGAAGTCATGATTATGTAACGTTACATTAATTATTCCATATGTTAATGTTCCAGCTGAATTACATATAGTAGACCATATCGGCTATCGTATATTTTGATGCACGTAGGTCCAACTTCATTGCCGTCAAAAAAGGATGATACAGTTCTCATTATTATTGAACAAGTTCTTGACATTATTGTTCTTGTATAACGTTCACTGAGAGAATAATTCCATCCATAAATACTTTGCGGATATTTTATTCTGCTCGATAAATAAATTCTATGGTACTAAAACAAATACTAGTAAAACTGTGCACTTATAAATGCATTGTGTTTTAATTTACAAGGAAAAAAATGTATAAATTTCTCAATATGAATTTATTGAATATGAAAACGGTAAAAGCGGAACGTGAGGGCAGATCTAATAACACAGTAGCACATGAAAATCGAGATTAAACAATCAATATAACGATTAATATTATGCTTTATAATCTTACGGTAAGATTCGCATTTTGTTGCAAGTCGAGAGGAAGTGGTGCAACGTGATGACATTCTTAAGCTCCACTAATCTGATGGTTCCCTACAATTCCGACGAATAATTAATAATCGTGACAATAATCTATGAATATACGCCTAATGTTTTTTTTTTTGTATTTCTCAACTTCGAATATACAATGTTGTCATTTGGATAAGGACGAGGAAGCATGAATTCATAATTCGTCTGCATCTCTCACATCACAACGTAAATACTAAACAAAAAAAAAGAAGGTTATTGATCCTATTATTATTATTAGTTGTTCTATATTCATTCCCTTATATAAATTGTTCTTACGTATATACCAAATATATATATATGAGATATGCTAAATATTAATTATATCTTCTTTTCTCCATGAGTCCATCAACTAGCTTGTAATGTAATTCGGTAAGAATTTATTGACTTACATTATTGTATAGAAGAAGCATGACTTGTGTTATTCTTAACTTGGTCAGCGTCTCAAAGTGTGTAAGGTATATATTATTGGCTTTATTTTCACGTATGCATACTTTAATTAGTATTAAAATTATATTTGAAGCAGTGTAAAAAATGAATAATATTTTAGATATAATAAAAAGGGAATAGTCAGACACTGAGGACAGACAGATCTAGCAAGGCCAAAACGATGATAAGCCATCTAATAAGTGATAATTAATTAAATAAAATTTCGTTTTCAGTAACCAAACCAGAATATTTAAGTCCACACGTAATAGATAATAATAATACTATTGTATTTGTTGAGAACTCTTCAAACTTCTACATCATCATATGATGTTCACAAGTTGCTAATAATTTAGAACATTAAACAAAAACAAAAAAGTCTGGACTCGATCGTTTGTTTTTCTTTGTAAAGACCTCTCACACTTTTTAAAGTCTTTGTAATTAGTATGTAAAGAATAATTGATAATGTAATTCGGTACAAACGCATGCACAACCACGTTTTTTAGTCATCGTTTCAATTATAATATTTGTTTTGTTTCCACTTCCAAAAGTTTTGTAGCGTAAATACTTTTTGATTGCACATAATGTAACTGAGGTAGAACATTTAATTCATTTGCATTTTGAAATTTCTTAAAAGGATTACACAAAGACAAACTATACTATTGTCCGTTGCATACAAAAAACTAAAAAAAAAAAAAATCTGTATCGATTCCTTGAGATGCTGAAAAAAACTAGTTGAAGTGCTTCTGATATCATTTTAAATTTGCCCACTCAGTCTAAGATATATCTACATGCTCTTGAACCATATAGTATAATGTTTTCAATCAAATAATATAGTCAGAATGATAATAATATTCGCATCGATCTCTATGTTTTTGGTAACATAAGAATATTGGACAGTGAAAAAAGTCGTACTTTAAATTTTCTCGTTTTCATTATTTATTATTAGCCCTGGGCAAAATATTCGTTAGATTCGCTTCGCTTCAATATTCGTTTCGATTCGATTCGAAAAATTCAAATATCTATAAGATATTGAACCGAAACAAATATGAAAATGTAGTATTCGTAAAAACCAAAGCAAATAACAAATATTGATTTTTTTAGTGCCGAATATCCGCTTCGCTTCGTATATATATATAAATCATTATATATTTGTGTATTTATAGATTTGGGTATATATCTAATAGACTTATTATTCAAATTATTATATTTTGGCCTGTTGGGCTTTTTGCTAAATGTTGTTCTTAAACAAATAAAACTTTATTAGAAAAATAAATATTAAAAATATTGTTCTTAAACAAATAAAACTTAATTAGAAAAATCAATATTAAAAATAAAATGTGAGAATTCTATGGACGGTGGTTACATTTCCTTCATATTTTGAAAACATGTCAAACAAGGACTTCTAATATCTCATATTTTGCACTTTATATTTATGTACTATATGTTTTTAGTTTTAAAAAAATTTAGATGGGTCGAAGCGAAGCGAAGCAAGTAATTCGCAAATATTACGAAAATATTCGAATATTCGAAGTTCCGAATACTCGAAAATTTTCGAATCGAAGCAAATAGCAAAATCAACTATTAGGTCGAGGCGAAGCAAATCACAAATATCACAAATTTTCCGAATATTCGCTTCGTGCCTAGGGCTATTTATTATATACATCGACTGCTAGGCTCGAGATACGTGGCAGATAATAAGACGTCTAGTTGATCCGACGTGGACGAGAAAACCGATGTGTCAAGTGGATTCCAGCTGGCATCGACTTAGATAAAGAGTTGGATATGACTTGTAAAGTGATCCAAACAACAAAATAAATATAAAAATACTTTATGACAACTTTATGAGTTCTAATAAATTACCTTAATAATCCCTAGCACTTCTTAGCTTACTTTTTATTTCGTTAGATGTCGCAGTAAATCCATATTTATGAAGCAAACACTCTTATTATCTTCCTATTCTTACGTGAAGAGAGCTATAAACTCAATTGTGTAGTTAAATAACTTGTTGACCAAACTTAGAGAACTTACATAAAGGTATCTTCGAGGAGCCATAATAAAATGTACATTTGAATAGTTTTAGGTAATAGGCCTAATATATATATATATATATAGTAGGAGAAGTGTATACACAGGCTGTCGTGTGTGAGCTTTATACATCTTTTGTTTTTCGAATGATTCAAAATAAACAGCTGGCCGTATATCAAAACAAGACACTGTCGTCGTTGTTGGTGGTGTACGCAAAGGATATCTATACACCTCTCTTTTTTTTGTGTAATTATTATATATGGTTCATGTAATTTTTTTAAAAAAATTCTTTCACATCATATCAATAAATTGGTCTCTTTCAGACATCTTTTTTCAAAAAATTGGAATGCGAAATTGTTTGGACAAAAAAGACTTCTCCTTTATTATCATCATATAACTCATAATTAAAACTTATTCATCAAGTAATCTAATTACATTTAAAACTTCAAATTTAAGCATTTTATAAGATTGAAGTAAAAAAATTTGTAAGTTTGAATTTCGTATATTTTTTAAGCATTTTATATTTTTATTTTATGTTAGAAAATACTTTTTTTTATTTGTGTGACCAAGACTTTTGAAAAATCGACTAACCAAACCAAACAATTTAAAAATTTATAATGTAGAACGGATGATGTGATTTGTCACCTTATTCATCATACGATTCTATTTATAAACAAGAAAGAAATGATTGTATTGTCATTTCCCAATTGGTCAGTATCCTATAACTCATTGTAAACACATTTTTAATACACTTTATTTTTTGGTTTTCTAAAGATTTTGATATGTCACTAAACCCCTATTAATTTTATCCAGGAAAAAAAGCTCATTGTTCATATGAATTTAACAAAACTTGATGGACATAGACCTACCAAAAACTTAACTCTATTATTCCCTTTATATAATAGAAAAAAGGAAAAAAAAAAAACGTATTCAAAATCCTTTTAATCACAGTTTTTTTTCTTCATAGACACTTGCTATATTGCTAATCACAGTCAAAACAGTTTAATTATATTATAATTAAGTAAACAGTTAAACAAATTCAAATAAAAACTGCCATGTGGTAATCTTCTTCTCTGTTTCTTCTCTCTCTCTCTCTCTTCCTTTAAGAACGCGTTGCAGACTTTGATCAGACTTCGCGTTCCCGCCGCCCATCTCTCTCTCTCTTTCTCTCTCACACGTTTCTTTTTGTCTCTCCCTGATTCATCGCCGTAGCTGTGTGACCCGAACAACATTGCCATTTCTCAAAAACCCTCTCTTTCTTTCTATTCCCATATCACAAGATTTCCTCAAAGACTCTGTTTTTTTCTTTCTTTCTTCAATGGCGTTATCGAAAAATAGTAACAGCAGCAACAAGAAGAAAGTTTCGTACATCTCAGTCCCTTCTCAGATCATAAACTCTTTATCTTCTTCCTCTTTACAATCCCTTCTTGTTTCTCCCAAGAAATCATCAAGAAGCACCAACAGATTCAGCTTCTCTTACAGAAACCCTAGAATCTGGTTCTTTACTCTCTTCCTCTTCTCACTCTTTGGTATGTTGAAACTCGGATTCAACGTTGACCCAATCTCTCTCCCTTTCTCACGTTACCCTTGTTCCACTAATCAACCATTAAGCTTCGACGGTGAACAACGAGCTGAATCTCATCTGGGTTTGGTTCAAGAATCGAATTCGTCTTCTGGGTATTCGAATTCGAGTGCGGTTATCCAGCTGGACGGTGGAAAGAACGAGACTTCGTTGGCGGAAGGCGATTTCTGGAAACAACCTGATGGGTTAGGGTTTAAGCCCTGTTTGGGATTTACTAGTCAGTACAGAAAAGATAGCAATTCGATTCTGAAGAACAGATGGAAGTATCTTCTTGTTGTTGTCTCTGGTGGGATGAATCAGCAAAGGAATCAAATTGTTGATGCTGTTGTGATCGCTAGGATCCTTGGAGCTTCTCTAGTTGTTCCTGTTTTGCAGGTTAATGTCATTTGGGGAGACGAAAGGTATAAAACTAAAACTCATTATTTCTTAAATAACAAGTTTTGAAAATGTGACGTTGTTGATCTAATTTGTTTCTTTGTTTGTTTTGTTGCAATTTAGTGAATTTGCGGATATATTCGACTTGGAGCATTTCAAGAATGTTTTAGCTGATGATGTCCATATAGTTTCGTCTTTACCTTCTACGCATGTAATGACGAGACCTGTCGAAGAGAAGAGAACTCCACTTCACGCTTCTCCTCAATGGATCCGTGCTCATTATCTCAAGCGGGTAAGATTTCTTACAACTGTTAATTGGTTTGTTTTGATTGGTTTTTGACTTCTATGTTAAGCTAATAGTGTAATTTCCTCTGTTTCTACAGATTAACAGAGAAAGAGTTCTACTTCTCCGCGGCCTCGATTCAAGACTCTCCAAGGACCTCCCTTCTGATCTTCAGAAACTACGATGCAAAGTAGCTTTCCAAGCGCTGAGATTTTCTCCGAGGATTCTTGAACTCGGTAACAAACTAGCTTCAAGAATGCGTAACCAAGGACAGTATCTATCACTTCATCTAAGAATGGAGAAAGATGTATGGGTTAGAACTGGTTGTCTCCCTGGTTTAACTCCCGAGTACGATGAAATAGTCAACAGCGAAAGAGAACGTCATCCAGAGCTTCTTACCGGTAGATCAAACATGACTTATCACCAGAGAAAACTCGCTGGTCTATGCCCTTTAACTGCCCTAGAAGTCACAAGGTATGATACCAACTAAAATCCACAGTTGCTTATGGTTGGACAATTCAGTTTTTTTAGTGAGAAGTATTAACATTGTTGGTGTGATTCCACAGGCTGCTTAAAGCATTAGAAGCACCAAAGGATGCGAGAATCTATTGGGCAGGAGGAGAACCTCTAGGAGGGAAAGAGGTTTTGGAGCCATTAACCAAAGAATTTCCTCAGTTCTACAACAAGCATGATCTTGCTTTACCCGGGGAGCTAGAACCATTTGCCAAGAAAGCTTCGGTTATGGCTGCGATCGACTACATTGTCTGCGAGAACAGTGATGTTTTCATACCGTCTCATGGAGGAAACATGGGACACGCGTTACAAGGGCAACGAGCTTATGCTGGTCACAAGAAATACATCACTCCTAATAAGAGACAGATGCTTCCTTATTTCATGAATTCGTCGCTTCCTGAATCGGATTTTAACAGGATTGTGAAAGATCTTCATCGAGAATCTTTAGGACAGCCGGAGTTGAGAATGAGCAAAGCTGGTAAAGATGTTACAAAACATCCTGTTCCAGAGTGTATGTGCTCAGATAGACAACAACAACAACAAAGGTAATCCGATGCTTAAGCCCTGCAGGGGATTGGACATTGTCACATTGTTGGTGGCTCGGAAGATTCAGATGAACCGATTTTTCCCGATCACCGGAGCTTTAGGGAGGAAGCTGATTCATGGTGGTGGTTCGTGCGATATTCTTTTAGTTCATCATTTTTTCAAATCTTTTGGAGTAAATATATATATGTTCGTTTTCTTTCAACTGAGGTTAATTACTTCTTTTTACATGTTTTTACGGTATACGTGGGAAGTAGAATAGTGAAGATATAAGATATGATTCTTTGATTCGATTTATTACAGAGTTGTATACGGTTCTAGTTGTTCTTGTTCTATAAATAAAGCAGCAGTTCAATCATATCCTCCAACTCTGTTATCTTTTTATTTTGTTTAATTCAGCTAACCATATAGGTTTAAATCTTCACAAAACTACAAGTACTTGAGCTGAATCATGAATCGTCCAGCTACAAACATATTGAATGAGGTCAAAAGAGGACACAATAGCATAAGCGGCCTATATAAAAAATTAAAAACGTCGCTTAATTTTTTTTGGGTAGAAAAACGTCGCTTAATGGGCTTAACTGTTTTTTTTTTTTGACAACGAATGGGCTTTACTGTTTTGTCATGTGTTTGGTATGATGTTTTAAATGATGTCGTTTTAATTAGGGCTTCTTCTTTTGTTGCACAGCGACGTCGTTTGTTTTCGCTACGCACCACGCACATAGATTGAAGTCAAAAGTAAAACAGTCTTGTTCGGGTTTTGAGAGACAGAGGGGTTTAAGCTTCTAGTTCTGGGTTGTTCGTGTTTCATCAATCTTCGCATCTCAGAAGGCTTGGGTTTGGCTTTTGCGCCCTGTTGAGAACCAGCGTTTCCAGGTCCGATTTCGTTATCTGTTTTTCTTCTTTTTTAAACTCAAATTACGAACCTTTAATCGTTTTCTGGTTTTGTGCTTCCAAAATTTACAGTTCCTTGAACTCAGTCCATAGACTAATCTTCTTTATCTAAGTTTTGGTAAATTAGTCTGAAATTTTGTTAGCTGTGAATTGAAATAGATGCCTCGAAGACCATCAGGAAGACGATTGGCAAATTATCAGCCTATAGCATTTTCACCGTTTATGCGGTTACTTGCTTTTGCTTCAACGGGTAGGCGTGATTTGCCTCATCCTAATGACTGTCAATGTTCTGAAGAGATCTCTTTTGGTGAGTAAACCGTTGTAATTGAGATTTTTCTATTCACAAACCATTGTAATTTGTAGTGATGTGTCATTCAAATTTTGTAGTTGAAAAGGAAAAGCTCCCTAAGTTATCTAGAAAAGAGAAGGACCAACAACTTTTGGACTCTTCTGATGAAGAAGACTCTCAGGTAAGGGGTTTAATTTGCTCTTCTGTTTATTTTGGTATATGAAAAAGCTATCTAATTTATCAATGTTTGATCTTTGAAGGAGGATGTTCAAGCAGATTTTGAGTTCTTTGATCCTAAACCTACAGACTTTCATGGGGTTAAGACTCTATTACAGAACTATCTCGATGACAAGGAGTGGGATTTGAGCAGTTTTGTTGATTTGATATTGGAACAGACAACAGTAGGAACTGTTGTGAAAGTTGCAGATGATGAGGACGAGTCAGTATTTGCTGTTGTCTCTGCTCTTAACTTGGCAAGATATAAGGTAAGCCACAAAAAAAAACTCTGCCCTCTGTATTACATGGAGCTTGTTAATTTGGTTTTTAGGCTTGTTGAAGTAATTCTCTGATCCTGAACTGTTTTTGTTGGCATTTTGTTCAGGAGAATAAGTGCTTTAGAGAGTTGAAAGAATTCCTTCGTAAAGTTTGCTCGGAAAAGAATATAACGAACAACCTAGACATGCTCTTAGAGAAAAAAGCACAAGATGTTGGGTTATTGGTTTCTCAAAGAGTAATGAATCTTCCCCCACAACTTCTTCCTCCTCTTTATGATGGGTTGTTCGAGGAAGTCTCTTGGGCCACTGAAGATGAGGTTTCCATCTTTTTTATATTAACTCTTAGGTAACTCCGTATGAGCAATACAACATTTAAAAGCTTTTTCTGTATATATAGCCTACGGGAGAGCTTCGAAATTCATTCCGCTTCAAGTCATATCTTCTAGTCACCAAGATTTACAAGGTAAGTTTAAGACTTAAGTTTGTCAGGCTATCTTGTTTTATTAGTTGATATGATATGTATTCTCGGTTATATAGCTGAAGAATCCTCAGCAGAGAAAACCTCGCCATGGTGAAGAAGACATTGAAGAAACAATATTTCTCAAGCCTGAAGATGAACTTTTCCTCGAGGTAACTTATTCTGACATAATTTGCCCGACTTGTTTTGTGTAAAGGAATAATTATCTGAACATTTGTTGCAAATATTGGATTTGCAGCTTAGCTCTTGGTCCTTCACATACCCCATGCGCTCACAGCTCGTAACTTCTCAAGAAGTAAGTTGTATCTCTCTGGCTTATTATACACATAGTTTTGATTTTAATTGTTTATGTCTTGTGATTTATGGTTTTACTTGCGATTCTGACAGATGAAGAATTATCAGCTGATGGGTTTAGTGATGGCCGTGGAAGCAAATAAGATTAGTAAATTCAGACAGATGTTGAAATCTCTCATTGATTAATAGTGATGAACATCTTCTTCTTCTTCTTTTTAAAGATTCAGTTGTATCGATTCCCGCCAGTTTTGATTCGGTTAACATGTACTGTGTGTATTTCCTGCAAAACTGCGAGGCTTTGTTTTGTGGGAAGGAAACCAAACTATATCTCAAAAAGTATTATTTCAGATACTTCATCTTTGTTGAAAAAGTCTATTACTCGAGATGTTCATTATATACTTTTTTCTCTTCAACTACAAATGGAAAAAAAACACATCAAGAGATTAATATACATATAACCCGATACACCAAAATTGAAGCTGAGCTGTGCTTCAAAGAACTGGATTAATATATCATCGTTGATGTAGCTATGTGAATTTTCTAATGATAATAATTTATTTTATTAAACCCAGAAGTCAACTCTATAGTCGAATCTCTCTCTTGGAGTTCTTATAAATGGGCTTGAGCCCAGCAAGACACTCAATTATGGTCTTGATTTATTTATTTATACAGAGTTCTTATAAATGGGCTTGCGCCCAGCAAGACACTCAATTATGGTCTTGATTTATTTATTTATACAAGTACCCCTGAATTCTCTGATAATATTTGAATGACCCAAAGACAAAATATATTTTTCATTTCCTGTAAAAAGTGAAAGAGCCACCGTGACTCGATTATCTGAAGCCAAATCAATCTAGTTGTTGGTCATATGATGAAGAAGTGTCTCTCGTCGGTCTCCTTCCACGCGTAGAAGAATCTGACGACTGAACGTGTTAGTTTCGTAAGATGTGGCGAAGATCTGCTGTGTCTCGTTTCTCGTCGAGGATCTCTGTTTCTTCTTCTTCGTTACCAAACCCTAGACTGATTCCTTGGTCTCGCGAATTGTGTGTCGTTAATAGCTTCACCGAGCCTCCGATTCCTTCAGAGTCAACTGCTAAGCTAGGGATCACTGGGGTTAAATCCGATGCGAATCGAGTTTTTGCCGCCGGTACTGTCGCCGCCACAGCTACCACCGGTGAGGTTTCGTCTAGAGTTGCGGCTATGGCTGGTTTAGGAAATCACTACGCTCGTTGTTATTGGGAGCTTTCTAAAGCTCGACTTAGGTATGTGTGTTTACTTTTTCGTTTCTCATGGAAATTGGAAATCTTCTTAGGGTTGGAATCAAAATCCTTATTTTGATTGATGTTTGTAGTATGCTCGTGGTTGCGACTTCTGGCACTGGGTATATTCTGGGTACGGGAAATGCTGCAATTAGCTTCCCGGGGCTTTGTTACACATGTGCTGGAACTATGCTGATTGCTGCATCTGCTAATTCCTTGAATCAGGTTTCATCTCTCTCTCTCCTTTCTTCTTCTTATCTTCTAAAGAACCGAAATTACGATTTTTAATTGTAGTGTTTTTAATAGTGTATGATCTATTTGATGCTTGCGAAAAAGCGATTATTACATTTCTAATTTGAGAATTTTATCTTGAACCCCTGTTGTGTTCATGTAGTTGATTTTTTTTTTTTTTGGGGGTTATCCTTTTTTTAGATTTTTGAGATAAGCAATGATGCTAAGATGAAGAGAACAATGCTAAGGCCATTGCCTTCAGGACGTATTAGTGTTCCACACGCTGTTGCATGGGCCACTATTGCTGGTGCCTCTGGTGCTTGTTTGTTGGCTAGCAAGGTGAATCTTTGTTTCTATATGATTTCTAATGTTTTATGGTTCGGTGATAGAGAGGTTATGAATCTAATCTTTTACTTGCACGACAAGGTTATTGCAGACTAATATGTTGGCTGCTGGACTTGCATCTGCCAATCTTGTCCTCTATGCATTTGTTTATACTCCGTTGAAGCAACTTCACCCTATCAATACATGGGTTGGTGCTGTTGTTGGTGCCATCCCACCCTTGCTTGGGTAAATTATATCTCCTTTCCTCTTTTAGCCATTTAGTTCACCTCTGCCTTTTCCTCAGTTTAAGTGCTTATGACAACGTCTTAGCAAATTTGGCATAGCCGTTTCTGTTTTGTGAGGCTTGCATACTGGTTTTTCCCATAAAATGGAATCATGGTTCGCCAAAATTGTGCTTATCTATTTTTTTTTTTGTGTTTTCAGGTGGGCTGCAGCTTCTGGTCAGATTTCATTCAATTCGATGATTCTTCCAGCTGCTCTTTACTTTTGGCAGATACCTCATTTCATGGCCCTTGCACATCTCTGCCGCAATGATTATGCAGCTGGAGGGTAAGAAAATATGATTTCGCATGAGATTTGTGTGTCTCCTCCCACTGAAAGTTTTCAATTCCGTTGAATGAGTATACTGTCCTTATAGTGCTAGATGATAGAAATATTAAAGAGAGGATCAGCCTAAAAAGTATAAAGTGTCACAGCAATAGACTTTGTGGTGGCTAGATAATGCGTTCTTTCCGCCAGAAACTAACAGTCACGAACATTGCAACCAGACTGATTTTTGTAATTTATTACCTTGTTATCAGTTACAAGATGCTGTCGCTCTTTGATCCATCAGGGAAGAGAATAGCAGCAGTGGCTCTTAGGAACTGCTTCTACATGGTCCCTCTTGGTTTCATCGCCTATGACTGTGAGTCTTGTGAATTGATCTTTTTGTAGTTTATGGACTGCAGTGCTGTGTCTGATTTTTGCTGTTCCTTCCACTTTTTGTGACAGGGGGATTAACCTCAAGTTGGTTTTGCCTCGAATCAACACTGCTCACACTAGCAATTGCTGTAACAGCGTTTTCATTCTACCGGGATAGAACCATGCAAAAAGCAAGGAAGATGTTCCATGCCAGTCTTCTCTTCCTCCCTGTTTTCATGTCTGGTCTTCTTCTACACCGTGTCTCTAATGAAAATCAGCAACAACTCATCGAAGAAAAAACCGGTTTATCAGATTCCACATCAAATGAAGTAAAAACTCTTAGGCGAAAGAAACGTGTGGCTCAACCTCCTGTGGCGTATGCCTCTGCTGCACCATTTCCTTTCCTCCCGGCTCCTTCCTTCTATTCTCCATAATAAGCCATTGAGCAAGCTCTCGAATTTTTGGGGACAGAAGTGAAAAAACATTCTGATATTTGTTTTTTGAGTGAATAAGGAAGTGGAGAATGCATACAAATTTCTGTTTCTTTTAGCTCCACGTGATTGTAATTTTTTCAAGTTATGTTTCCTATGAAACGAAACGATATACATACTTTCACTGGTTCAACGAGATTCTTGCCATCAAATTGATGGATTTTGAAACTTTTATGCGTGGGTTTGGGTCTAATATAAACAAGTCTAAACGAATTTGGTTAGCTTTTGGTTTTGACAATTATCAGACAACCGATGTTGGTAGGTAGAGTTAACGAGTATTAAACCGGGTTGGTTAAAGGTCTCGACGGCTGCGAAAATCAGCCATCAGGATTCAGGACATTGAGCTGCCGCGAAGATGGCGATGAGGTTGAAATCAATGGCGACTTTGCCGAAACTGATTCAAAGTATGAGAAAAGAAGTTCCGAAGCATTCCAATCCTGTCTTGCCATCTCTACGACGAGCTTTCTCTCTCTACGATCAGATCAATCTCATCGATAATGTTCCCGAAGACCAGCTTCGCTTCCAAGAGTAATCATTTCAAATCCGCATGTTTATTGAATCATTACATTTCCTAAAACCAACTCTTGTTGTTCATCCTCGATTTTGGATTTTCCTGACCATATCTGGGTTTTGGATTGAATAGTCATGATTGTTCATTGGATTCTCTTACTTAATTTGCAGATTTAATGAAACGAGCTTCACGGTGAATGGCGTCAAATACGAAGGAAGCTTACTCTGTGTTGGGAATTTGTTAATGTCATGGAGCCCTCGTAAATTCTCCGAAATCACCACTGATAGGTAACTTTCCCCACTTCTCTAATTAGGTAAATGTTCTTGAGCTATGCCAGATACTTAACTTGAGTGTTATCATCAGTCATTGTTTCTCAATCCTAGATTCTATAACCAATGTTCTGTCACAACCTCTTATCGATAGCCTACTTAGTTTGACTGTGTTGGAGTGAAAGTTCTGTTATTTTAACAAAAGATTGGTTCAAGGTTATAATGTTCCTTGCCATCAGAGGATTTTCAAAGCTTTATGGGTTTTTTATGTGCTTGATCGAACTTTTGGTTTATGTTCGATTAGCTTTCGTTGCTGTCACTACTCTAGTGCTCTTTCTATGAAGTTTATGAATAAATGTTGTCCATGAAGTTCGAGTGGCTTAACGTTTGTGCATTTCTATTTCCATGGATGCAGCTTGTCTATCTTCCAGACAGTTCGACCGATTCCAGGTATTAATAGATTTAACAACGACATGTCTCTATCTTGAAAACAAATTTGTTTCATTACTTGCGAAATCTAGTTGTTTAACTATGACTAATGAATATGAAAAAACCGCTCTGCCATTGAGTTACCAACTATTGCATATTTGCATCAGTCTCAATACAATGTCTAAACTAAATCATCAACGGTTTTCTGACTGTGTGTTAACCTTCTAGAGCTCTTAATTATTGGTTGTGGAAGAGACATTCACCCTGTAACTCCCGAGGTCCGTCAGTTTGTGAAGTCCATTGGCATGAAGCTAGAAACAGTTGATTCTGTAAGTTTCTTTTTCTCTAGTCCCAAGCTTAGCTCATAGCTTCTTATGCACTGATATCGATTACTTTAATCCAGAGAAATGCTGCATCAACTTACAATATTCTAAATGAAGAAGGAAGAGTCGTTGCTGCGGCATTGCTTCCGTTTGGAGTTACATCATAAACAAAACTAACAACTCTGAAGCTCCATCTTTTTAAACTGTAAATGATTGCGTTCAGACTTTCCTTGGAAACTCTCTTGAAAATAAACTGAATTTCATCAGATGTATCTCTTGCGTATGAGCTTTATAGACGAACGTTGTAACATCGGCGATTTTTTCTCGCATTTTCACATCTTTCCAAAGATATTTCAAAGAATTTCTCCTCTGGTTATAGCAATGAATGAGATTTCAAGACTCTGAGCGCTTTGGTTACAGAATAATATCGTTACCGTTAGTTATTTATTTATTTATTTTTATTTTTGTTATGTAACAGAAATTGTTACGGTTAGTTAAAAAGCTTCGAGTAAACTTCTCGTAAATGTGAATTCGTCAACTTCGTATCTCGCGGGCTAAGTAGTAAGCAGTAGAAGAAGAAAAGACTGCTTTTACTGTGTTACAACGACGACCTTTTCTCAAAACCCTAAACTCTCTCTCTCTCTCTCTCCGGATCCCAATTCTCGAACATGGCGTCGTCTCTTGTTCAACCATCGCCTACTTTGCCGGCGCAACACCTCCGCCGTTCTTCCCTGATTCGTCCTCCTTCTTCTTCGGTTCGATTTCCTCTCGTAAGTCTCCTCTATTTCTCTCACTCTCCGACTCTATCTGGAATCAGTATCTTTTTACAGTCTTTACTTGTATCTGATGTTTCGTGTTCTCGATTGTTTAATGTTGATTGTGGAATAACAGAAGTGTAACGCGGCGGATCCGTACAAGTTCGATGGCGGAAACTCCTCCGGTTTTCATCTGCTTACAGGCGACACCGTTCCCGCAAGTTTCTCGAGGACAAGTTTGGAAGACTCGATTTACAAAAACACCACACGCCTCCGCATCTTTTCGGGCACTGCTAATCCTGCCTTAGCTCAGGTTCTTTCTTAATTTGTAGCTCCGATTTTAAATGCAAGAATTACTAGTTTGGAACGATTAGGAAGGAACTGATTTTGACTTGGGATAGTTGTTTAAGTGCGGGAATTAGTAGCTTTTGACTGGAGATTTGTTCAATTGCTTCCTAAGCAATTAGGAAGAAACTGGTTTCGATTTTGTCTTTGTTTGTTCATTGGATGTTATACTATGATACAGGAGATTTCTTGCTATTTGGGTCTGGAGCTTGGGAAAATCAAGATTAAACGTTTTGCTGATGGTGAAATCTATGTTCAGCTGCAAGAAAGTGTAAGGGGATGCGATGTGTTCCTTGTACAGCCTACATGCCCACCTGCTAATGAAAACCTTATGGAATTGCTTGTTATGATTGATGCTTGTCGGAGAGCATCTGCCAAAACTATCACGGCTGTGATTCCTTACTTTGGTTATGCTCGAGCTGATAGAAAGGCAAGTCCTTCTTGAAAATCTAAAGAATCTGTCTTGGAATCAATCTTCTTTTGTTACATCTTCGTTTACACGCATACCCTTTTGTTTCTAGAAGTAATCAATTGTCAGTTTAAGTCAGATCTATAGGTATATTAAGTCTTCGCAATTAATCAAATTGGTAGTTTCTCTTCATGAAGCTGATTTGTGTTTGTCAATTGTCTCATTCTTGTGCCTCCATTTAGTTTCTCGTTTATGGATAACAAACTTTTCACGTAACTCTTTCATTCTACAAAATTTTGCAGACTCAAGGTCGTGAATCTATTGCAGCCAAGCTTGTGGCAAATTTGATAACACAGTCTGGTGCAGACCGTGTCCTTGCTTGTGATCTTCACTCAGGACAGTCTATGGGCTATTTTGACATTCCAGTCGATCATGTTTATGGCCAGGTAAAGGTTCCTATCTTAAATAGTTCCTCAAAGCATTGAGTTCTTCTTGTGACAATGGATTTTCTTATGTCTGCTTCTTTTTGTAATTTAAAATTTATGAACAGCCTGTGATACTTGATTACCTAGCAAGTAAGGGTATATCCTCTGATGATTTGGTGGTAGTTTCACCTGATGTTGGTGGCGTCGCAAGGGCTCGTGCTTTCGCCAAAAAGTTATCTGATGCACCTTTAGCAATAGTTGATAAAAGGCGTCATGGGCACAATGTTGCAGAGGTAAAAAACCCACTTGCAAATACAATTTAACCAAGACTGGATTTGACATTTAACACTAAAGAATCATGTAGGTGATGAACTTAATTGGGGATGTTAAAGGGAAAGTAGCTATAATGGTGGATGACATGATTGACACGGCAGGTGAGTTTTAAGTCTGTATTTTCTGTATATAAATCTGTAAACACTCTCCGTTATGCTTAGATACTTATCGTTAAACATATTAGGAACCATAAGCAAAGGTGCGGCTCTGTTACACCAAGAAGGAGCAAGGGAAGTATATGCTTGTACCACTCATGCTGTTTTTAGGTAAGTCATGAAATATCGTCCAAGTGCTGGAAGTATAGATAGAGAAAGAATCTTATATATCCATTTGTTGTCTATATTCGGAAACAGCCCTCCTGCAATCAGCAGACTATCTAGCGGACTGTTTCAAGAGGTGATCATAACCAACACGATTCCGTTGTCCGAGCAGAACTATTTTCCTCAGCTTACAGTACTCTCAGTAGCAAACCTTTTGGGGGAGACCATATGGCGTGTTCATGATGATTGCTCCGTGAGTATAGAAATTCAATACTTCAAAAGCAGTTTTTGTTTTAAGAGTAGAGATTGGATCTAACTTAATTTATTTTGGATTTCACAGGGAGCCATTGAACCATTTTCGACGTTGGGGATTGATTGAGTGATGCAACATCGGTAAAGAACCGACTTATAGACTCTTGGTAGCATGAATTTTCTGATAATGTACAAATTCTTTTGTGCTGTAAATGTTAGACGTGAGTTAATTTGGTTTGTTAAGAACAGAATACTTTTGTAGAGAAGAGATTAATGGAACCAGCTTTCCGAACTTTTTTGGGAAGACATGTTTCTGTAATGATTTTGAATCCAATCATGTAATAATTAATCTTGAAACGTTAATTAATCTAGAAAAATAATTAATCTTGAAACATATTTAATATATTCAGAGCATCTCCGTAGTTACAAATTATCTAGTTACAAATTATCATCATAAAAGTTAGACATCTTTGTGAAATGGAGGTCAAATTATTAAAGAGAGTTCAATAACATCCAATAAACCAAAGTAAACTTAACCAACCGAACCGAAATCACTAGTCTCGAAACAAAATAAAAACCTCAGTCTCGTCTCACTAGTCACTACATCAAGTTATTATAACAAATCAAATTTTGTTTTTTCTACCCTTAGACCTAAAAAGTTAGTCGGTAGAGCGTCTTAGGAAATGAAGTCCAAAGACAGTAATACATTGTTAAGTAGAAACAAATAGAGATATATAATTAAGGTCATGCGATGGCAGCCAAAATACCAACCAAAGGAGCAACCGTGACAGTATCAGGCTCATCGTGCTGATAATCAGACCGTTCATCTCCATAAGCATCGTTCTCGTCCGGTCCACCTACAATTGCTCCAACTAAAACATTAGGATTTGGTTTAGGATTGTTGTACCAAGCTTCATAACCTCCATTGCATGTTACCGGTTTAGGATCATTCTTGATTGACACTATAGAGGATCCTCTATGGTGTGGTCTCTTAGGATAATTGGTCCCGTATCCAACCATGTAGCTCATGTTCTTGGGGTTTGACCCAAGTACGTAGTCAACCTGTTACATAGACCATGTAAAATATTCATTTAACTTTAGTTGCTTAAAGTCATAAACCATGTAATCATCACTTAAAATTCTAATATTTATGTATCAATCATCACATAATATTTATGAAGATATTTGCCTCTCTAGTTGGCTGTGGCCTGTGGCCATTACTTACATCTACAAGGTGGTCTCTCCTCGTTTTTTTTTTGTATATCTTGTTAAAATTTAATTCTCGAGAATTCTCAAAATCTTGATGTAATTTTCGGAAAAAAAAGTAAAATTAAATTCCTGCCTAACCTGGGCACGAGCGAGGCTAAGAAGATCAGAAGCTTGAAGGATGCCACCATCAGGGCATCGGACCGATGTTTGTGCAGCCTCAAGGTATTTAGCATAGGTAACTAAGACGAAAGAAGCGGTGGCTGTGTATTGAAGGTTATCCCACGGCAAGAACCAGAGCAAACCTCCAGGAGTTTTCTTAACGTTGTTGGAACCCTTTTGAGCGCAATTGCAGATAAATTGCTCTGCCATACTTTTGTACTCAGTCATCTTCCCTTCGTTCTTCACTTTCCCTTCAAATACAAGCTAACATTTTGCAAAACAAAAAAAATTTGTGTGAAGTGTCGCGTAAGTAACGGCATGGTCTATTTTAGGAAATTCTCGTAACCTACCTTGGCTACCAAGACTTGTGCTCCCAAGAACTTATTGTCCCACGCAAAAACGAAACTCACACCTCCGCTACTAGAAGCTTGTGTTAAATAATCAAGATAGGCCTGGTCTCCAGTGGCCCTGTGAAGCCAAGCCGCAGCCCACAACAACTCGTCTTCATAACCGCTGCTCGGGTAAAAGCCACCCGCGTTAGGAATAGAGGAGTGATAGACCCCACGGTAATCCTTACCGAATCTAAACAGATCTTTTGCATGATCAGTGAGAGTTTTGGCATAGACTGGATCAGAAGATGCGAAGGCCAAAGAAGCTGCAGCCATCGCTGCTGCTGTCTCGCCGGCCAGATCAGAACCTGGATGCTGAGCATCAATGCGGTATGAAGGACGTGGAGTGGTCATATCTTCGGGTCTCATCCAACACGCGTGGTCCAAGTTAGCATCGCCCACTTGCCCGTACAGGACATTAGGCTCAGGATGGGCTTTAATGAGATAGTCGGTAGCCCACTTGAGAGCCGCGAGGGCGTTTTCGTGCTCCTCATGGGCCTTAAGCTGCGATTCCATCTCTACACAGCTCCAAGCTAGCATGGTCGTCGTGAACGCCAAAGGAAATCCAAACTTCACATTATCTCCCGCATCGTAATACCCTCCGCTGAGATCAATCTGTGTTTATAAACTTCAAGTAATAAAATACACATTACAAAATAAATAAAAAGGAGTAAATAGGATTGGAATTTAAATTACATGAGCATCAAAACCGTCTCTAAGTGCAGAATCCCCTCTCCAAGTAACTCTTTGGTTCGATGGTAATTTCCCAGAGCGTTGAGCTTCGAAATACAAAAGACTCTTTGTGAGTGCTTCCCCATAATTTGAATTAGCAGAAACTGCTCCAAGAGAAATCGATAATAATAACGACAACACAACGCAAATGCCTTCGATTGTGACGAAGCGTTGTGATGATACACAAAACATGGTTGTAATTGTTTTTTTTTTTTTCGGCTAACAAAAGATTGAACGTACAGTGTATGTGTTATATACTAACTATATATTCGTATCTACATATCCATATACATAATTGATACGTGATCCATTTTTAACTATATAAGGGGATGTATTCATGTATATAATTAATGAGCGGTATCAGAAAAAATCGTGATCCTCTTTTTTGCAACTAACATATATAGAGGATGCATGTATCTATCTTATAATCAATGACAGTACCAGAAAATACTGTGAATCCGTGAACGGAAATCATTCTTTTTCTTTTCTTTTGTGATCCTAAATATTTAATTGGATTTACTCTTGACGATCACTCAATCTCCATGAACTAGGAAATATATTTGACAATATCAATGAGTTTTTTAATTCTCTGATTTTTGATTCTTTGTTTTATGGCAAATAAACTGATTAATGAGAATATATGCACATAGTTCGGATGAAAAATGTTGGGACTGTGACAGTTACATTTCATTATCAGAATCAATAAGAAAGTTACACACATTGCATAGTGAACGTAGTTTGATGAGACAATTTTGGAGTTTTCATTTCATAAAATTGAGACCTCAAACCAATGATGTTTATATGATAGAACATTTCTTTTCTAGTTTTCTTCCACCACAAGTTGTGCCGGATTCCTTGGCAGTTAACTGTAGTCCTAAATTCTTCTGTCAATGATTGCTTCTTAAGGAGGTTTTGTAATGAAGTTTTAGTAGTTGGCCAAGAAAACAAAATCTACTTCTTTGTTTTGTTTTATTTGTTAATTTGCTATAAAATCCATCATTATCTGATAGACAGACTAAACCCACTATTTTATAGACTTAGAAGAAGCACCTGTTGGACCACTTCTTGGAAGCAAATAGCAACTTTATTGGGTGGTGTGGTGGGTTAGATATAGTGGGTATGGAAAATTCCGTAAAGTGGTGAAGAAAAAAAACACATCTTATAAGTGTACATTAATTAGATTACAAAATATTTGTAAAACACTTTACTAATACTTAAAACTGTCCCATTCGGTGATCATGAGGTATTCTTTTTTTTTTTTTTTTCTGTCTTCGTCATGAGGTATTCTAACTCCACAACATAACTTTTCGTGTTCACAGAGTTTCTTTTGTCATTTTGGTGAGAAACTACAGAGTAAAAAAATAATACAAGTGCAATGAAATGAATGAATTTTTTTTAATTAATTTCTAAAACATTGATAATAAACTCGTGTTAAAAGTCTTAAATTTAATTAATCAAATATTGTTGATGACGCGTCAGGGAAGGTTCCTTTCGTAAACATGTCGATTACGCCGGGAGGAACAATAAGCGCGAGGAGAGGGTTTCCCGGCGGCGCCGGAGGAATCTGAGCTCTGCACAGAGGACACGTGGACTTCTTCTCCAGCCACGGATCGATACAATCAGCGTGGAAACAATGGTTGCACGCCGTTATCCTCCTCATCTTCTCTCCCTCCGCCGCGTCTTCGAGACAAATCGTACAGTAACGCGACGAGTCTCTTTCCTCCTCCGTCGTGGTTCTTCTTCTCCATCTCCGGCGATGGACCGTGAACGTACGGTAACGACGCCAAGAACGGCTCGCAAGGAAGCAAGCGAGTCTAAAGAAGAGACGGATAGAGAAGACGACGACGGAGGCGATAATGACGGATTCGGCTATGAACTCTGAGAATCTTATTAGAGCTTCAGTAAACATATTCTCGAGAAAAATTTAAAAGTTTTCTCGAGAAAAAGAAGAAGTGTTTGGAGATAATATGGCACAAATAACGAAGCTCTCTCTTATATAAGGATTTATCTTGATGAGATCAACGGTCTGTTTTTAATCTCGTGGAGTATTAGTTAAATAAAAGAAGTAAAGAACGGTGATGATTTTATATTGGTATTATATAGTACTTTGTAGCTTCGAAGCACCTCACTTTTGATCTAATATTGAATTTGACTTCGCCACAAAGTCAAGTATTGGTCAGTCATTCGAATTCTGGAGGCTAAATGGCTAATATGATACTTAGTGGACTTATTAAACAATGCTAATATATAGAGTTAATGTTTGAAAGCTTGGGGTTAGTCAAATTTACATTAGTTATGTATTACTTTGTGAAGCTCGTTTGTTTTATAAATTACAATTAAGAGAGTTGGTGTAACCATCCCTCCCCTAAGAACGAAAACATCTAATATTCTAATTACAAACGTATTCAATTTTTCTGCTTCTACATTCAGACAAAGTAAACACAACCACAGTCTATACAAAACAAATAACATGTTTTCCATTTACTTGACGTTGAGTTGTATATTTATGAGTATAGGACAAAGACTAGCAGCACTAGCAGAGCCTAATGAAGATATAAACCAGTAACGGCCCCCGGCCCCAAGTCTCTTCAATTTCTGGGTCCAGCCAATAACTATAGTTTCAAACCTTTATGCAGAATAAGTAAGTGGTGATAACAAACACAAGTAGATAAGAATATTGGATGATCTGTAACCTGTAATTTCACAAAACTATAACATCAACTAACACAGATTATAACAAAGAAGCCAAAGGTTTTAGAAATAGAGAAACAATCTTCTTATCTTGCACTAAAGACAGGTGGTGCATCAGCTTTAGGCTGAGCTCTGCGTGTGTATTTCAGAAGCAAACTTTCCATAGAAAGTCTAGGAACATGAAGATCCCTGCAAATCACATAAACAACACAAGTCAGTTTGTAAAATAATAAACTGAAACTCACCTTCTAGTGAAATCTTTTATATCAGTAAAATTGTTCAGTTACCTTAAGTAAGGCTCTAAGTCTTTCCATTCCCATTTTGATCTATGTTTAAAGAGTATCGCAAACCGTTCTTCTGGAGTTGACGGGAGAGAGCGTACGCTGAATGTATAAACCCGTGTCTCGATCCCAATTGTCTCTGTTAAAACCTCTCCTTCAAGCATCTCAAATCTTCCTTCCATCCCATCTGGAATCTTCTTCTTCCACTCTTCCATGAAACTCTCCAACTTCATCTTTTCTTCCCTCAGAATCTGTCTAGCAAAATGCAAACACACAAGCCTCGGTTCCAACTTCCACCTCTCAGTTCCATTAACTCTAGAGCCAAACACGCGCAAGCAGTGACTCGCTAGCTTGCTAGGAAACTCATCAGCCACTAGCGAATTCACAACTTCATCTTCATCGAGATCATCAAAGGACCAATCTTTCAATACACAGTTATGAAGCAACATTCTCAAAATCATGTCTAGGTAATTCTCATCTATAACCCTCCAGTAACCATCAATCTCAACAGCAGAGAGACTCTGCAAACCAATACTCAACTCCTCATCACTGGCTTGAACCGTGTTAACCAAATCGCTCCAGGAATACAACTCTGAACCCCTGTTCCCATTATTATGGTCTAAGCCATCATCATCAACATCCATCATGGCGTCTACTTCAGCAGCACCAAAAGGATTAGCCAATAAAAGTTGCTTGAGTTTGTCAAGCCTAGGAGATACCTCAACAAGTTCCATATTACCAGCAGCAATTTTGAGAACCGAAACAAGCTGATGGTTATTAGACGATGGAGGAATCAGGAACATTGAATTAGAATTACCAACAAATTTGATAGCAAAAGTCTTAGATTTGGTGCAAAGAACAGCATCTTCATCAGGAAGCCCTCTCAGTGTGACCCTTCAAAGATAAAACCAAATCGAGAAATAACATAAACACGAAGAATCATAACAAAACGAAGAAAGCTTCAATCAAATATAAAAATCGTACCTTTGATGGAAGATATCTTGGACGAGTTTGTCATCGGCTTCAAGAAGGAGTAGATCATCGTGAGGCCCAAAAGAAGGGTGGTACGAAATAGGAAGCGAAGATCCAGCTTTGAGGTTTATCACTGCCTCGGCTCCTCCAACTATACCACTTTCTTCCATTACTAGTTAAATTTACAGATATCAAATGTCTGTAGAGTAAGCGACGATGAAGCAGAGTAGTAATCACAAATATCAAATCAATCAAAAAGATGTAGGGGATGCCCAGATTTTTGGAGCTTTTTCTATTTCGCAAGGGGATCTAGAGTTTCGCGCCTTGTTTCAGCCATTTTAGGCGCGTAGGTTTTGTGATTATCGTCCGCTTCTCAGGGCTCCAGGCCCAAACATAAGGCAATGGATAAAAAAATAAAGCCCATCAATAATTCTTTCGTTTGCATTTATTTATTGGTTGGGCGTATGGTGTAAATTTTTCTTTTCTTTTTTTGTTGCTAAGAATGTTAATAATAATGCGACTTTTGTTGATTTTAATAATAAATGTTAATAAGAATGTTAATTTTTCTTTTTTTCGTTGCGAAGGCACATGCGACTTTTGTAATTAACGTTTTTCTGCACTATAGCTTAAGTTTTTTTTTATGGTTTCGTTTCGGGTCAAGTCAATGTTTTGTTAACTATGCACTTAAGATTTAAGGGTTTATCGTTCAAGTTAGGTTTAATCCTTTATGGTTGCATATCGTTTAGAATATTATTTGTTTATCGTTTAGGGTCAGGGTTTATTTATGGTTCCGGTAGTCTATGAAAGAGTGGATCTCAGATATCTCTTTCTAAACTCTTTCTATAATGACTACTCTTGTCTAAATTTAGGGTTTAGAGTTTAAAAATCTATTAAGGATAAGGTTTATTAATTAGATTTTAGGTTTATCGTTTTGGGTTTATTTGAATATTATGGTTTTCAAAGTTTAGGGGTTCATTTAGGGTTCTCTAAAATGATACAGTTTATTAACAGTTAAAATTTTTTAATATTTAATATTTAAATTAAAAAATTTATTTGTACGGTTACATAATCGTTTTATATACTGGTTGATAAACGGTCCGGCTACGGATAGAAATATGGTTAATGTTAGCTTTTGGTCATACCTATTGTTAGGATTATTTTGGGCGTTTAGAGCTTATGGTTAAATTTGGATTAGGGTTAAATTAGAGTCTGGGCTAATAATATGTGATTGCTTTTGTTATGTTTTGTGTTTGCGTTGCGTGTTGCGTTTGCATTTGCCCTCTCACCCCTATAGATTCATCTAGCACAACCCTATGCATACATCTAACACCATAGCACTATCTAAGTATCGAACACAACAATCCTATAAATAAATCTAACACACAACCTATATAATATCTAACATTTAGACTACACACACACTTCCCTAAAGGCCTAAACATACATCTAACACACAACCCTATAATATCTAACATTTAGACTACACACACACTTCCCTAAACATACATCTAACATACAACCCCAAACATACAATTAACACATACAGTATACACACCAAAACCCTATACATAATTAATTATGATCCATACATGCACGTCTATCATTCATAGATTTTTATCTATGGCACCAAGCTTTTTTCCTTTCAAGGCCCTCGGATCAGATCCACTATATATATAATCCATTCTCTTCTTTTTCTTCCAATCTGAGACAAATAACCCAAAAACAAACTTAACTGGTTATTCTTTTTCAATCAAAACTAACAAAGTAACAACATAGTACATCATCATATATACATCATCATCATCAATCAAACTGACAAAGTAACAATATATATTTCAGGCAGAAGAAACAGAGGATCTATGTTATATTTTAATCAACACAGAGTATCTAAATGGGTTATTCTTTTTCAACAATAAAAACCAACACAGTCGTTCTACTATCATAGCATCTTTGTTTTGAGTAGAGAAGAAACAGAGGACATAAAATATTATATATCTTTATCAAAAAAAATACTATTTCCCAAACACATGCATAGAAGAATACATTTGTGAAGACTGTAAACAACAACATTTTTCAAGACCTCATACGATCCATCCCTATATTAGTAATAGAGAAGTACAAAAAGTAATTCCGGGTCGGGTCAATTTCAAAAAATTACCCGAAATTTGTAATTGGATCTTTTAAAGTTGGATAGATTAATGGGTTTGGATACATACACCGGATACTTTCCAAATCTAATTTTAGGATTGTATTATTTCCATAACTAATTATATGATTTACTAATATTTCTCTAACTAATTTAATACAATCTATTTAAAAAATATTATTCTTCTTTCACTTTTATTTGATATTATTTTTAATTTATGATATTATACTATATAATATAAATATTTAATAAAAATTTAACTTTTTTTGCATATGTTGCAATTTGAATTTTTCAAAACGGACATATAATACTTAACTACACTCGGTTAAATATTTTGGACAATGGTTTAAAATCAATATAAGTATGACCAATATTAAAAATCATTGTTACATGAGCATATTTAAAATTTCAAATAGTTTCAAAATATTATAAATAAAAGGTTCAAATATATAAAACTTTTAGAATTTAAAATATTGAAATATTTTTTTGAAGACATAAATGTAATTTTGGAGACATAATTTTATTGATAAAATATATTATATATCAAACTATGTAAATTTTAGATAATTCACGGGTAGTTTGCTAAAATCACAATAATAATGATAAAAAAAGTTACGAATAATGTTTTTTACGAAATGAATTCTGTAACGGGTTGGACTTTCAAAAAATATATTGTAAATATGTAATTTTTACGTATATTCCTACTTTTACTATAAAAATGGTCAAAATAAATAATTTATCGATAAATATTATTTCGTGCTGTTAAATTTTCACTGTTTTTTTAATTGTATCAAAACTCAGTATATGATTATTTACTCGCTTTTTCCTTTATTATTTTATTTAAACTCATCATACAAATATCTGATTTACTATAATCGACTGTACTCTAACAACATTAAAATGTAACATATTCTAATCCGTTAAAAGTTATATATATGTATTTATTTCCCCTGCGATGTAGCGCGGGTCCGAACCTAGTATATATATATGTTTCCATACTAATTGAAATAAGTCAGCTAATAATCTATACTCTTAAGAGAGAAAATAAAATGATCGGACGCAGAATCTTACCTTTGACGATGATGATGCTTCTCTGCTTGTTTCTTTCTGAGCAAGTGAGAAAACTCTTAAGAAGTTATGAGATGAGCTTCAAATGGACGTGGTGAACCAGATTATGAAACTTATATACAAAAAAAAAAACAAATTTTAGACATTTGTAAAAAAAAAAGGACAACAGAAATGAAAAGAACATTTGAACTTTGAACGAAGATGAGAAAGAAGAAGGTTAAGTATATTTATAGAGGTAATTTATCCACATTTTTTTAACTTAAAAAAAAAAAATCATATTCATAACGGTAATAAACACTACTGTAGATTGTTTCTAAACGTTCATATTTTTACTTTCGGCATCCAACGTTCGACTGTCAAATATTTACTGACAGAGTGAGAGATTAGTTATATACTTATATTGAAACAAAAACATAATTATAAACAATCCGAATTTAAAAATAGCCGGAAATATGAAACAAGGATTGTAACTTTTATTTTATTTTTGGTGGAAGGATTATAACTTATTAAACCAACCACAAGTATATACTAAATAATTTATTGTCTGTTTATATAGATTATCTAAACCAATAAGACCATTAATCACACGAAACTGTCACAGGGCAGAGACTTGGTTTATAGATTATATATATATATATATATATCTTCGTCATCGAACCCAAACCGATGCATCAATCTCATCTCTAGCCTTCTTGTATAGCTCGAGCGTCTTTGCACGCTGCACTCTCCTTTCCATCAATGCCGGGTTCTCGTCTAGCAATTGTCCCAACCGTTTCCCCTGCTTAAAATGAACCATGTCCAAATCCATATAAACCAAACCAAACCAAACTTTGCAATTTAACTGACGTAATTAAGAGACAAACCTGATTCTGACTGATCTGTGCGTAGAAGTGATTAAGCAAAGAGAGTTTCGCCTCTCTGACTTGGCAATGAACAACAGCCTTGGGAATGGTTTTTACAAGAGTCTCTGCAACCATCTTGATGTACGCAGCTACATTTGAAGCTATCTTTCTGAAATGTCCTTCACCGTATTGGTCTACTGCTCTTGTGGTCGGTGAAGAAATAGTCTCGGTTTGGCTTTCTACATGAAGCTTACGAAAGAACTCCACAGTTAGATATGAAGACTCCATGTCGACTAATCTAAGAACTGACTCCATGCTTTCTTCACGAAACTTGTCTAAAGATGAGTTTGCTGCAGCCACTAGCTCAATTTGTAGTGAGGGGAACCTTTTTAGCTCCTGCACTTACTTGCACAACAAGAATCAATAACCATTTCTCCTTTTACTATCTTGAAAAACAATCAATTTCTCACCTCAGTTTCTGCGATTGCTTTCCTTACAAGCTCTTTTAATGTAAGGTGAACCTGTTGTACAATCACAATTCGTTACGGTCTTCTTATATATATACAAAAAAAAAATGAAGTGGAAAAAGAACCTACGGCATTCACAGAAGATTCAGCTGGACCTCTAAAATAATTTAGGGATCCTTCAATGAGACGACGATAACCCAATTCTGGTGCAATCAAGTGAGGTTGGTAGCCATCAGATTCTGAAACTATTCTCTGAACACTTGGCAATGAAAGATGATGATCAATCGGAAGTTGTTTAATGGCTCCTGGAAGGTTGTAGTTAAAGATTCCATAGATCCTTGCACCTCCAGGGCGCCTAAGATTTGTCATCAATCAAGGTTTAGCAAGAGTTTATCCACCATTACAAGAAAACTTTGGTTCAACAATACTTGTTTTTATTACCCGCCATCCAAATGCTCTTTGAATATCTTTTCGAATGCTCTACACATTCCCAAGATAGTGTATAGTTGAGCCTGAGACCAACAAATTTTAGCCTACCACAGAAAAATATACAATACATATAGTTAAATGAAATTGTATATGTACTCACTCCAGTATCAATTGCGACAGGCCTGCCCAATTGGTCTAACTCTCTTTCGAGTTCCTCGATGTTTTTGTTTATTAAGGATACGATACTCGGAATACGGGACCTTATAATAGATTCTAAGAGCTGGAAAATGAAATACACCACATAACTAAACAGAAGGACAAAAGAGAAAAGAAACTCATTGAGACAAAGATTCAGTAAAACCTTAGAGAGGAGCTTTGCAAGAAATTCTGAACCCATTTTGTTGGCTAAGTGACCATAGTCAGGGCTGGTTTCGAAGTATTCTCGCTCTTTCTTTCTTGCAACCATCATATCAACATTCTTATTAATATCTGCTTGTGAACGGTTCACTATCCCAACCCAAGGATATTGCAGCCTGTATGATCTTCCTTCGATAACCTTATTGAGACAAAGATTCAGTACTAGTAACTATACATGTAGCACTCAAGATTGCCATCATAGCTTCTTAACTTACTAATTCCGAACAACAGAAACAAGGAAATAAGAAAGACCAAGACTTGGGAGACACTTACAGCTAATGCATTAGTTCCCTTGTCCATTAAGTCTAACTTTGTCAGAACTCCAAACGTTCTATCACCTAAGAGAGTGCAAAAGTCAGAAAACAGAAACATCATTCCAAGAGAGAAAGGGAGAGAATGATTCTTTTCCCCAATTCACAGTTCATTTGCTGAAACAGAACAAAAGATAAACCTGTTGGATCCACTTCTTTCGCGAGCTTGATGGCATCAGACGTAGCTATGTCTTGATTGGCAGGAGATATCGCTAGTATAAGACAGTTGGGCTGTGAAAAAAACATTAATATACGATCAAACTACAAAACTGAGTAGAACATGTTAATATCACAGCATCACCAAGCCAAGAAAGCAACTACTCACCTTTGTGACGTATGAGCGAACCATTGGTTCAATATCCTGAACAATAGTTTCTGGCTGTCCTTCTGAAAACAAACTGACAATATATGTAACAAGTATTACACAAAAGAAGAGATACAAAGGAAGTAGAGCCAAGCAACACATACCAACAGCAACTTTAGTCAAACCAGGTAGATCAATGAGAGTAAGATTCACAACTGGTTAAAGAAACAAAAACCTAATGTTAGTTGGGTAAACAAAAAGCACACAGAAACGATAAAGAAACTGACCATTGGGAGAGAAGATACTAAGGTGAATAGGAACTGGAGAAATCTGTTTGTTCTTCCCATTCCCAGTGATTCTATCAGTCTCATCCTCAATCTCCTTTCTAACCAAAGCTGTGACACGAAATACATTTTCAATAACATGAATATAATAGGATTCACTATTATAAGCCACAAGAGAAAGAAGACACATTCATGTTATACAATAAGTACATACCAAAATTCGTGAATTTCTTATTGGGAAGGTGGAGAAACTCTGCATATTCCTCTGTTCCGTTACCAGTCTTACGAAGTTGTAATACCAAAGGCCGTCTCGTGACAATACCTACACCAATCCAAATCAGTTACAGATGATAAATAAAAATTCGAAAGTTTTGGTTTTTGATCACGAACCGGATCCTCTGGGAAGAAAATCTCTCCCGACGATGCTCTCTAGAACCGAAGATTTGCCAGAACTCTGCACGCATGAAGAAGAAAAACCTTGAAAGCAAGCGTAAGAGAAAGAACTTATAGGCAAGAGTGATCTGATCGAGACGAAACCTGACCACCAACGACGGCGACGGAAGGAAGAGCTGCCCAGAGAGAAGAGAGAGCGTTGTTACCGCCGTCATGATCGCCGAGTGCAGTGCATGCTCTCTGTATCTCATTAACCAACACGATCAAACTCTCCATTGGTCGCCGTGCTTCGTTAGAGATATTAACAAATAATCCAGAGACGATGATGAAGAGTGCGCAAGGACTTTGAGATGAACGCAGATGGACCGGAGAGAAGCAAGGAGAGAGACAGGACACGAGAAAACAGAGAGCGGGCGTTTCCAATATGATAAACCAAATCCAGTCCAATTAATTATTATTATCCATTAATTATCATAAATAAACATTGACAATTAACTGGAAAATCAATTTTTTTTTTTGATCAAAGACTGAAAATCATTTGATATAATTATATATAGATTTTTTACCATTTACGCCATAAACCCTACTTTTTGTTTTTTTGGTCGGTAATTCTACTTTTTGTTATAATTCAGATCTCAACATTTCAGTAGAGTTATAGTTTTTTTTTTCTGAGATTCAAAGTACTAATTACCTTAATGGCTCATTATTTTATATCTTGAAGAAATATTAAATCTTTTCATATTATATTAAGTATGTATTATGATATCCTTCCTAGGATTCAATATCTCTTTGCAACAACAAACAAAGATTTTTGATGTTTAAAAAGGGAAAAAGAAAGAGTTAGAAGTTAAAATGGAAGCCCAATAATAGAAAAGGTAAAAAGGCTTTAAAATCGAGAGTATAGGCCCGCTAAGTTGAGAAAGGGTAAGGGGAGGAGGCCACGTGGCTAACCCAAGAAGAAACGGACGAACAAGCGTGTGGGATAGAGAGAAAACGACGACGTTTCATATCACCTAACACTTGTCGGCTTCCACCATCCACGAGCTCCCATCTTTTTCATGCCGTCACATGCTTCGTTTTCCCTTTTAAAACCAAAGAAAAAAATATATATATACACATTTGATATGAAATTGATATATTTGTTTTTCTTGTTCGTCCTCCCAATATCTCCCACTACGAATTATTTCATGATTGCCATTTTAAATGATTAATCAGAGTAAGTGGATTACTTTCCATATATATTTGAATTGGATTCAGACCATATCTTTGAATTCTCTCGATCGTATTCATATTTCAGGATATCTAAACGCACATATCTACTGTATTATAGACTTAAACCAAATTAAACATAACAGTTAATAATAAGCATATATGTCCAAATTTTAAACGTGTTGTTGTTTTTTATACAAAAGGATACAACAAAGACCTTTAATTTGGTAGTTTTCCATGGAATTTCCATGAAACATATAACGTTGACATTATACGGTACGAATGTCCTAAGCTTCTATATATAAAAGTACGGTTTGTCTTCTAAAGCAAACAAGTTTCTAAATATGGTTTCAGTGAGTCAAATTAAGAGGACGTTTAGTTTTTAACAACAAAGTAGTTTTAAGTGTTTTAAAGTAGATTACACAACCCAATTGTGAGAGAGTGAAGTAATAACTAATGATTACATAAACCCATTGTGTGATGGAGTGATGTTTATTTTGACAATGATCAAAAAAGCAATGTCAACGACAATATGAATTATGATGAAAACAATTGAATTGTTCATCCTCCCACTACAAGCACACCCAAAAAGAATATTAGTATTTTAACTATAGACTATATATATAGTGAGTAGTGACGTTCCGTTAGATACAAAAACAAATAAGATAAGAGAGGTTAATTTAACTTTAACCATAAGTAAGTATTAATCATCATCTTCTTTGCAAAACACAAAAATGGTTTTATAAACCAAACAAAGGCTAACGTGTCAAGTCTTTATTACCTGAAAATATTATATTTTTAAAGAAGAAAGAAAGGAAAAAAAAAACAAATCAGAAAATTTCCATTTACTCCGGCGATTCTCTTCTCTCATGTTTTAGATCCTCTCTCTCTTCCTCTATCAGAAAAGGAGAAAATTCTCAGAGACTCTCTCAGAAGAAGACAAATTAATCTTTTTTATTCACCAGATCTTCTTCTTCTTCTAATTCTCATAAAAACCGAAGCTTTATCTTTTTTTGCAGAGTTTGTTTGTTTTGTTTTGTCTCCGATGAGGTGTAAGAGACATACAGTAGATTTCAGTAGCAGTATCGGCGTCTGTGCTTCTTGTCTCCGAGAACGTCTCTTTTCTCTGGCCGTTTCAACCGCCGCGTCTCAAAGCGACGATCATCGTCATTCTCGTGTTTCTCCCCCTCCTCTGCTTTTTCCTCGCTCTGTTTCTCCTTACGTCGCCCCGAGAAAATCCGACGCCGGAGCCGGAGGAGGAGACTCTGTATCTTCTTCTAAAACCCGATTCTTCTCAACGCCTCAAGTGAAGGATCATCAATCTTACAGCGTGGGAAGAGGTTCAACCTCATCGGAAAAAGTCTTCGAATCGTTCAAGAAGAAAAAAAGCGGCTTATCTCGCTTCTCTAGCTTCTTCAGAACGAGATCTGATGATTACGATTCCCGTCGCCGCGATTCTTGCGACGTGTCCACCATTTTTTCTCAGTCCTCTTCTTCGACGACGACGACCACGTCACGGTCATGGCTCTCTAAGGTTCTCTCAGTTCGATCGAAGAAGCAATCATCAAACACTACCACTTGCTACATCGAGGATTTGATCGCTTCAGAATCCGATCACCACCAACAAAATCGACCTAGGCAGAGATATTGCCGAGGAATGTCGCCGGCGGGAGAATCAACGACGAACGATGAGTCAGTCGAGGGATCTCCTGGGAGGTTAAGAAGAACGCCGGCGATGGGAACTCCGGGGAGGAGAAAGATTGGGATTGGGAAAAGCGTGTCGGGGATGGCCTTTTGTTTGAGTCCGTTAGTGAGAGCTAAACCCAACTGTTCTTCTAAGTGGAGAGGGAAATTTCAGCCGGATTTTGGATACTCCGGTGAGTTGAATTCCCCGGCGAAGCCTCACCTATCGACGGCGGCGTCTTTTTGCGGTAACCGGTCTAAGAAGCTTGTTGATTTAGGAAGAGTTGATCACCGCCGTTGATTTTTTGTTTGAGGTCAAAATCTGACCGTTCTTTGTGAAAATACCTTAAATACCCTTCACAAGATTCATATGAATCCCAGTTACATATATATATATATATATATATTTGGTGGCTTTACTATACCAACAGATAAAGAGTGAATTTACCCTTTTTGGGGTATATATTATATATACTATAATGTTCTTTTTTTCCTTCTGATTGTGTGTGTATATTAAAGGAAGAAAATTTCGTTTTTCTTTTTAATTAGGAGAGATTTAGAAGAACAATGTCGTGTTTTTTTTCTTCTTTTCTTCTTCGGATTAGTCTCTCTAAATGTGCCTCTTTGTTTTTTCAATATCATGTTGTTTTGGGGGTGTAGACATCAAAATGACTGATAATAAAAGAAGAAGAAACCTATGACTAGTTCATGTCAGAAATTGTAAAAAGGAAAATATTGCAATTGTTTTGAAATTTTCAAATCTAAAAAAAAAAACAAAAAAACAAAAAATCAATGCTTTGTTGTGGGTTTATAATAAATGTGACACATGACATACCATTGTGTTTCTCTTAATCTAGAAAAACAAAAATCTGACAACACTTCTCAACGTTGAGAGACATTACAAAAGTCAAAATTAAACCAAAAAAAAATCCAAATTACAAGTCTCACTTACTAACAAGACACATGAAAAGCCTAATAAAGAAAGGCTAGGAAAAAAACGGGCAATATAGGTCCAAATAACATAGGTCTCAGTGTTCGACGACGACTTTAGTTGTAAGATCCAAGTACCGTCGTAAGTAAAAGAGAGTTTCTCTCTTCATTCAAAGGGTTTTAAAAAGAGTAAAGACTAAAAAGAGAGAGTTTTAAATTCCATGGGTCCTTAGCCGTGAACACGATACATCAAAAATCTTATGGGGCTGAATAGTAATTTGATATTTCGTCTAATCTTAGACAGAGAGATAGAGAGAGAGAGAGAAAGAGGGCATTAACGGTCATAAAAGGGAAGTTGGCAATTAATGAAGGAGGAATAGTAGTACTAGTTACTTACTAGTTAGTGTTCTCTCTTTCGTGGCTCTACCATCGCCTCTCACCTACATTCATACACATCTTCATTCATTTCAACTTACTCATTCTGTTCTCTTCTTTCTTTCTTTCTTTCTCTTTTGTGTAAGGGGGTGTGGTCTCTCTCTTCTTTAATTATATGCAATGTCATTATTGCGAATTATATGTGTTTGCTGAGAGTGCGAAATTTCAAATAAAGCACACACTAGTACGTACCCCCCTTTTTAATTAAATTTCATTTTACATAGCTATTAGTTGGTGCAAAATGTTAATTTTTTTAGGTATTAGTTGGTACTTTGTATGATGAAATCTGATGGATGATGATCACTTGATTATGAAATGTCATTAAAGAAACATCTCTAACCAAAATTTTCGAATAGCTTCTTTAGTTGGAAAAGGTCCAAACATATGAAAATACTTTTCAGGTGCGTTGAAAAGAAAAGCCACCTCCCTACAAGTTTCTTTCTTTTCTTTCGATATTTTTATAAATGTCATTGACATCTATGTGTTTTATATCAATGAAATGTTTATATATAAAGATAACAAGTTTTTGCTAATCGTTAGAAGTAATTGTTTTTTTATAAACTTGTGGATGTTAGTTGTTGTTTTTGCAGTAACTATTTGAATTTAAAGTTATTTAACACTAATATCTACTCTATAATCTATTCTATCTACTTTTTGTTTAAATCTTAAAGCAGCACTATTCCACCCTAAGAATGATAATTGCTGACTATACCACATTATTTTTTTCAACTGCATTAATCCATCATAGCTCATAGCTTAGCAAGGTTATATGTATGTAGGGTGGAACTGGAGAAAAATACCTGGGAACAGTGAGACTTTGAATTTAATTAGCTCATTTAAGTGATCTGACCTAACGACATGTGTACGAAATTAATTATGTGTTTCTTTATGGGGTCAAAGATAAAAACAATTCTATGCATCCTTCTCTCTCTGTTCAACTGTCTTCACATGGAATGTAAGAAACGAGAAGAGTGTGTTTATTAGCCCTGGGCACGAAGCGAATATTCGGAAAATTTGTGATATTTGTGATTTGCTTTGCTTCGACCGAATAGTTGATTTTGCTATTTGCTTCGCTTCGTAAATTTTCGAGTATTCGGAACTTCGAATATTCGAATATTTTTCGTAATATTTGCGAATTACTTGCTTCGTTTCGCTTCGACCCATTTTTTTTTTTTAAACTAAAAACATATAGTACACAAATATAAAGTGCAAAATATGAGATATTAGAGATTCTTGTTTGACATGTTTTTAAAATAAGAAGAAAATGTAACCACCGTCCATAGAATTCTCACATTTTATTTTTAATATTGATTTTTCTAATAAAGTTTTATTTGCTTAAGAACAACATTTAGCAAAAAAAACCAACGGACCAAAATATAATAATTTGAATAATAAGCCTATAAGATATATACCCAAATCTATAAATACACATATTATATATATATTATAAAATGATTTATATTAATACATATATATAAATATACGAAGCGAAGCGGATATTCGGAAATAAGAAAATCAATATTTGTTATTTGCTTCGGTTTTTACGAATACTACATTTTCATATTTGCTTCGATTCAATATCTTATAGATATTTGAATTTTTCGAATCGAATCGAAACGAATATCGAATCGAATCGAATCTAACGAATATTTTGCCCAGGGCTAGTGTTTATTACGTAAGCTCCCATCCCATTTAGTTTATGTAAGTTAAACTTCATAGACTGGCAAATCATAGTTCTTCTGAGAAAAAGTCAACAAAAGTACTGAAGCAGGGAAAGCATTTAAACTTCAAAAGACCACAAATGATCAGAGTTAGGAACAAAACCACAAGCTAAAACCAAGTCTTTCTTAAAACAATCTGATGAAAGAAAAATTAAAAAAAGTCGAATAAGCAGGCAAAAATTTTACAATAGCGGATTGGATAATGCAAAGGCTGGGGGACTTTTTTATATGTTTGTTTTTTTAGTTCTCTATCGATTTGTTGTTGTTGTTGCTGTTGCCAATCTTAACAAGAGCATCCTCCTGATTGCTGCTGAGCCAGAGATGCATTTGCATTGGATGACTTGAGATTGACATCAACCATATCCTCTTGCTTTGTCGAAGACAATGTTTCCATTCCGGGCAAAGCTGCTGCTATCTTGCGGAAGAGAGCCTATCAATGCAAAAAGGGCTGAACACATTAAAAAACAGGATTTCCGAGGACTGATAGCTTTCTGGATTTGAAGTAACTGTTTAACGACTATTAGCAAGAGATCCATACGAATAAGAAGGACGTAAACAATCAGTAGGTTGGTATAAAATTCGAGGTTAAACAATGGGACTAGATAACGTTAGGGATTAGGTGAACTTAGTAACAATCTTTTATTGTCCAAGAAGCCTTTACGAATAGGTGAAGCGAAAATTTTTGTTACCTTAATGTTGAAGCCTGCTTTGGCACTGGTTTCGATGAACATTACATTAAGTTCACGAGCCTTAGCTTCTGCTTCCTCTATTGACACTTGCCTGAGAAACAAACAATTTATTACGAAAGGCCCATTGGCAGTAACAAATTGTAGGCACCATCAAGTGTCAAAGCGTGTTGACTATAAAGAATTCCTTTAAATATATGCAGTTGAGCACCAAATGATTTCCATTTATTAGCATCAGGTAGGGTCGTTTGGAGCATTCTCAATACCACGAGAAAAGTAAGAAGCGGTTTCATACAAAAAGACACTCATTGGAATCGGAAACATACTGAACAAAACTAGACCGAGAAAGAGGACTACTGAATTTTTAGTCTCTACTATTGAACAGTAATATCCATAGCAAAGTTTAGAAGAAACATACAAAAGAAGAGATGGTGGGTCACTTTTACCTTTTTTCCACGAGGTCAGTTTTGTTTCCCACAAGCACAACTATGACATCACTACCACGCTCAGTCCTAACCTCATCGATCCACTTAGTGGTGTTAAGGAACGATTGCCTGCCTGTATGTCAGTGGAAAACAAAATAACTCTCAAGTTTCACAATACACGATGGATTGAGATAGAGAAAATATAAAAATGCATGTCACAGTCACAAACATCTCAGATATGGGAAAATATTCATGTCTTTGGGAGAAAGCAGAGAAAGATTGAAGGTACACATACTTGCAACATCATACACAATAACAGCGACAGACGAATCCCTGATATAGCTCGGAATAAGACTCCTGAATCGCTCTTGCCCAGCAGTATCCCTGTCATATATTATCGGCTCTCAATGTTAAAAATCAAATCATGAACAATCTGCAATTTTATTCTTCAGAATTCGAAAACTGAAAGAGGTTGAAGATCTTACCACAGCTGAAGTCTGACTGTTCGATCTTCAAGGTACATTGTCTTTGATAGAAAATCAATACCAATTGTGGCCTGATGATTATGAAACAAAGAACAGTAGAATGATGAGAAGCTAGCACAGTTCACTTACTATTGAGAACTATTACGTCATTATCATATATACAAATCAAGACCAGATGATTTTATTCACCAATTGAGAACAAATTCGATTAAAAAACATAATGATAACAAGATCAAGGAAACATCCTCATATGTTACTTGGATCTTCTATGGCACTGAACAAAGAGAGCGATTACAAAAGCCAAAATTCACAAATGATGATCATTCAAGCTGATTGTTACGTTCTATACATTGGTTAAACACGGTCTGCAAATCAGATCACACAACAACTACCTAGAATCGAAAGCGAGACCAAGAGAACGATTTAGAACTTGGAACTGAAAAACACGATTCCTGTCCATGAGAATGGATCTCAAAATCGATCAAACCCTTGGACTTTCCCGACTAAAAATCCCCCCCAAAATACCAGCCAACGTCGCGCATCGTCGAGATCATAACTAGATTTGAACAATGGAGAATTACCTGGTAAGTATTGTCGAATTTGTCGTACATGAATCGAGTGATGATACTGGTTTTGCCGACGGATTGATCTCCCAAAAACACCAGCTTATACTTGGCAAGTGCCGAGACCGGAGCCATGATTCCTCAAAGATCTAACTCGCCGGACGGATCTGAGAAACGTCGAGATCTTGCTCGCTGCGAATATTAGTTTCCGATATTTACCGGAGAGATCCCGTCGCTCTAGAATTGCAAATACTGTGTTAGTGGAATTTGTTATTCGTAAGTTGCTGATTCGAAGTAATTACCAATTTGGTTCTTTATGTGAAGTTATAAACTATTTGGGAAAAATTACAATATATAAGAACTTAGATGCAGATTATAGAATTTTAATACGTTATGGGCCTCATTCATAAGCCCACATAAGGATTAGGCCAGGTGGCCTTATAGTAGCGGGCACGTGAAAAGCACGTGTCTTCTCGTATGACCTGAACCTTGAACCTTTCACGTTTGTGTCTCATCAAATCCCTAAATCTCGAGTACGAAGAAGAGACGAAAATGGCACTGAGAAATGCAATTCTTCGTCACCTGAGGGTTCCAGTGCAAACCCTAGGACTGAAGCAGTCTCAAATTGGGTCCATTGGTTCGATCCGGTCTTTTTCATCGCACGATGATCATCTCAGCAGAGAAGCTGTCGTTGATAGAGTTCTTGATGTTGTCAAGAGCTTCCCCAAAGTCGATCCCGCTAAGGTCAGCTCGATCTTCTGGCTAATTACTAAGATTCGTTTTAGACCTGCAATGTATGGGATCGAATCGTGGTTCTTATCTTTTTGATTTCCTTGTTACTGGAACAAAATGTTTTGAATCTTTGTCAATGTGGTTGATTTCGTATTGATCTAGTGGTAATATACACCAAATAAGTAGTAGCTTATTTGTAAGTTTAAGGTTAACTGATTGTTAATTGTCTATTAAAGTAGTAGCTTCAGATTTGCTGCTGTTGCCATTAAATTTGATTGATGAATCTTATGATTTGGCATTTGATGAATCCCTTTTTGATTGAAGACATACAAATCTTTCAGTTCTCCCTCAAAGAGTTGTTCGGTTAGGTTTATTTGGTCGATGACTTAGTGATAAATAATCTACAGGTGACTCCTGAGGTTCATTTCCAAAACGATCTGGGATTAGACAGTTTGGACACAGTGGAGATAGTGATGGCTATTGAAGAGGAATTCAAGCTGGAAATCCCAGACAAAGAAGCTGACAAGATCGATTCTTGCCCTCTCGCCATTGAATATGTTTACAATCATCCAATGTCTAGCTAAAACCTGTGTGCTCTCTCATATGGTTTCTCTTCCTGTTTCTTCCCTCTTTTTTGTATGAGGTTATTCTCTCTTGATAATGGGATTTGCAAATAATTTCACTTCTGTTTGGAGAGCATTGTTATTGACTCTTTTAACAGTTTCAGTTTCTTTGAAATCCCCTTTTCCTTGCTTTACAGCTTGGATCTTGTGAAAGTTGACACTCTTTCTTGAGTTGATACAATTTGTCTTCAGTCTACTCTAGTTCTTTTTATCAGACTTTATGAATTGTAATATTAAAACACACAATTAATGAAAATCTTGTTCGATCCAGTTATGGTAATTTTGCTTTTGTCAGTAAGTAGGGCGTTTCAAACGCACCGGACGCTACAATAATATTCTACGGTCAATCCATCCTTGCTACTTTTAATCTTTGCCAAACTCGATAATTAAGAATATTCGTCGTTATAAACCCAAAACGCCAAAAACACTTGGAAAAATTCGTTTCGAATTCCACGATCTAGGTCGAAAAGGTACGAGTCATCTTCGCAGTGTTTAGGGTTTAGTTGGGGATACTGGATAAGAATAAACAGGGTTTACTTGCGCAAAAAGATAGGAGAAACAACGTTCAGAAACCCCACATATTGTTTTGATGTTGAGGTTAATGGAAGCTGGCTATTGGGCTAAATAGGAAAGTTTTATAAACCCTAGTTGCTATCTTCTAATTACTTTGAATTTTTTCGTCTGTTTGGTTCATTGTGACTGCTAGGTCATCTCATGGACGCCAAAAAGGTGAAATCAGGTGGATCTAGAGACGCAATCATCAACTCGTTGCCAGATGAGGTACTTGCTAAGATCTTATCATTTCTTCCGACAAAACGAGCTGTTTCTACATCTCTTATCTCCAGAAGGTGGAGGAATCTGTTTCCATTGATGCTTCAACTCTTTGCATCTCAACATCATTTCTATTTAGACGACTCTGATTTAGATTATCCCGAGGAGGGTAAAAGAGAGAGGAAAGATGTAGAGAAGAGCTATAAGGATTTTGTGGATAAAACCCTTTCCGGTTGCAATCCCATAAAGAAGCTCGTACTGAGATGTCCTCGTAGTTGTCCTCATACCGAAATCGACCAATGGCTACACCATGTCCATGAACGAGGTGTCGTGGATCTTGATCTGCGTTTTCCGATTGGCTTCCGTGGTCGTTGGCAAACAACTTGTCCTACTTTTGTTTTCACAATCAAGACGCTGGTTAAGCTAAGAATAGAAATAGAGCGCGGTCCAGAACGAAGTAATACTTGTCCAAACGTGTGTCTTCCAGTGCTAAAGAGTCTATTTCTCCATGCAGATGAGGCTACATGCGAAATTTTGTGTACAAAAATGCTTCCTGCTTGTCCAATACTTGAGGAATTATCCTTAAATTACTGCCGTTCCCCATTTGAGTTTCAAAGATCAGTGTTCGGTATATCCCACGAAACCCTCAAGAGACTCACACTGAACTACAACAACACTATTCCATTCTGTCGCATCATGAAATTCAACACACCGAGTCTTGTTTACCTCGACTTCTCTGGTTCCGCTCCTACTCCAATATCTACTGCCAAATTCTTAGATTCCCTTGTTGAAGCCAAACTAGATGTTTTCTTGGATTCCGTTTTCGAATTAACCAAACAAGGAGTAAAAGTGAGGAGACCGGATTATGAAGCTTTTGTAAATCTATGTATCATCATGGATTGGATGCGCAACGTTAAAATCCTTTCCTTGTCTTCTGCTTCTGTTAAGGTGTGTATCTTTGTCTGCTATATAAATTAAACTCTCTCTTCTGATCCTTGTCTTAGTATCATTTTCTGTTGTTATTGTACTCTTGATTTCAGGATATGTATTCAAGATGTGTGGTATTACCTTTCTTCTCAAACCTTGTTAAGCTTCATTTTGAGAGTAATACACAACAAGGTTGGGAAGTGCTTCCGCGTCTGCTCAATAAATCTCCAAAGCTAGAGACTTTGGTCCTCAAGGTTGATATAAGGAAATAATTAATCCACATATGGATCCTTACGTACAATCCTAACTCTCTTTGTTATGGTTGCGTTGCTCCAGGGTTTGCACTGTGTAAGTGATCAGGGAGTCAGCATTGATAGAAATGAAGTGAAGGTGTTGGAGATATATGGGTTTAGAGGAAGTGAGAGAGAGGTCAGACAAGTGAAGTGCTTCTTGGAGGAAATGCAGTTTCTTCAAGTGATGAAAGTCGAAATCGATGCTGATGATGACAACAAGAAACTGCTACTCACGAATCACCTTCTTGCTCTTCCTAACCCTTCATCTAAATTTCAAATCCTCTTCTTGTGAGATTCACATTTCCTTCTACTAGTTGAACTTGAGTTTCGGTTTAGGTGTTCTTTGCGAATTTTAAGATATCGGAGATGGTAAAACCAAACTACTACCTGACTTTTTTATCGTATTCCGCCTTTGCTTGTAAGACAAATTTAAGTTTATGTTAGTCTAAGAGCCTTCTGTCGAGTTAATGCAGATCCTCTATTTATATATGACTTCGTGTTCGGTTTAAAAAATGGTCTGAATTCGCTTTTTACTTTTTTGGAATAACGAATTAAGGCCCATGAAGAAGCCTATAACGATGAAAGAAAGGCCCATTTTAAAGCTTAAACCCCTTTTGCCTCCTCAGCTTCGTCGACAGGAGAGTCTGAGATAAGGGAAGGACAAAAGGAAGACGAAGAAGGTAAAGAAAATGGCGAATCTCAACTCAGCTATCGATTCTGTGTTTTGGGACCAGAATGTTTCTTCACCCCAAACCCTTGAAGGCACGGCTCGCTCTGTTCCTGGTGAGCCATTTCCCGTAGATGGAGCACGAGCCAGCCGCTCTCACCGGATTCAACAGCTCTCTCTGCTCCGCGAAGGCTTTCCTCTTGGAATCATTCCTTCTTTTGCTCCTGCTTCCGACAAGAGACTTGGCTCTTTCTCTCTCAATTCTCTCTTGTTCACTCCTTCCTCTAACAACTGGTAAATTATCTTTACAACCTCTCTTCACTCTGATTGTGGTGTTTTGAGTGAGTAGTGCTTACAAGGTCGTTGCTGAGAATTTGAAAACAAGAGTCAATCTTGTGAAATAGACACAAATCTGGACACTTTGTCTTTTTCTAGGTGTTGGTATTGTTGGGTTTGATGAGACATTTGACTAGGTCTCGTTGGCATTTTCACTCAGGTGGCTAGGATTGGTTGGGCAGTTTAAACCAAAGAAGCTCTTTGCTGATATCAAAGCAGACATTAGCAATGCAGAAGAGTGGGATCTTCAAGTTGTCAAAGATACAGCAAAACACATTGTTGACAAATCCCTTTACTCTATTGGTTTATGGACTCAGATTGCGTTGGGTTCTTCTTCTTCTCTCTTGTTCAGCACTGAACGCCTTGGCGATAAAAACGAACTCCGAAACAAGCTGATGTTGGTTCATCCGGTATGTATCAGAACTGTACCCTTGATGGATTCTTTTGTATGTTTAAAGCACTTCTAATTTGATTTGTTTGAGCTATTGAGCAGCTTGAGAAACATGATCTCACTGTGGAAGCTGCTTGGCCAGATCTGTTTTTGGACAGTAAAGGGCGTTTCTGGGATGTTCCTGAATCATTAAACGTTGACGTCTCATCCCTTGTTCCAGAATCAGGGCTTCGGTACCGATTTGGTCTCCATAAAAGCAGGGGTAATCCTCAGCCTGTGAATGCTGGTGCCGAGAGTGATATTGATGCTCCTACTTCTCTGATGCCTGGTTTATGCGCCAAGGCTGCAGTTTCGTACAAGGCTAACAGAGACTTGTGGAGGCCACAAGAGAAAGAAGACGACACAGAAGAAGAGGATGCACCTGTGTTTCTGCCTTATGATATACGTCTACAGGAGCCTCATGCAGCAATTTCAGGAATAGTAGGTACTCTCTTAAAAAACCTGTTCCCCTAAAGAAGCCTCTTTCCTACTTTTTCTCTTGACCTTGAATTGAATGCTGACTTCTCAATGTTCAATCTATCTAGGTAGCAGCTTGGCAGCTTGGATCACAGGCCGAGGCATGTTGGTTAATGGCAAGAAAAGGAGTCCGATAAGCGCAGACATATTTGGTTCTGCTTGTTATACATTCCAAAAAGGACGGTTTAGTAAGTTGTATGGTGACCTAACACGAGTAGATGCTCGCATAGACTTACCCTCAGCTTCTGCTCTTGCTAAAAAGGTCTTCCATGCTTTTCGAAGATCATCAGGTAGTAACAACTCAGATGACACATTGTGGTCTCCCAGACTCAACCTGATATTCCAGCAGCAGGTATGATCTTTTGTCCAAAGATCAAAAGTCATAGTCTTTAATGTAAAGAATCATATATTTAAGCAATGCCCATCAATCACTATTTTTTTCCTTCTGCAATAATTTTGCAGGTTGCGGGTCCTATAGTTTTCAAAGTAGACTCGCAGTTTCAGGTTGGTGCTGCACGCATGGAAGATCTGATTTTTAGTTTGAATTACTCCTTGAGGCTTCTTGAGTCTGGCAAAGTCGTGGCTTGGTATTCTCCAAAGAGGAAAGAAGGCATGATCGAGCTTCGAGTTTTTGAGTTTTGATTTAGTCTCCTTTTATGTGTACCAACCAGTTAACATTTGTATCAGAAGATGTTTAAAATGGCAAGTCTTTTTTTGGTCAACTTTCTGAAGTTACCTTTTTCTTTTTTTTTGTGATTTATTAATAAATCTTTCCTTTCTGCCATGTTTGGTGCAAAACGGTATGACGAAGCCGTTGCTCTGTTCCACTACTACTTCAACGATTTAAACATTATTCAAACATTGTCTATGTCAACCACATTATCAAAGCTCATTGTGAAGAAAATCGTGTAGAAGACGCACTCCAACTACAGTATACCATCACGCCAGAGGTTTTGAACCAAACTAACACACATACAGGTTTCTGACAAATCATCTGGTCAACGCCGGGAAGGTCCATGGAGCTGTGGGTGTGGCTAACGAAGGCGTCCATGGAGCTGTGGGTATGGCTAACTAAAGCGTCTTGTACTCTTGTCTGTGCGATGCAACTTTCATCAGCTTTATGCTTCTTTATTCTTCTTTCAGTATATTTTGTCAAAGCATGTCAATATTCTATTGATGATGTACTATAGGTCTATAGCCTAACTCTACGTACTTGTGCGAGTTGAAAATGCAAATCAATTATGACGAGACTAACTGAAAGTGATCTCAATTGATAGAAAACAACAATAGCTGTCTGAAAATTACAGGAAACTTCTAAAAATCTTCAAATCATTGAATGTTTCCACTCTCTTGGACAACTCTTGGAATAGATTTCACTCAACTAGGGCCAACAAGTCACTCTCCTTACAGAAGCAATGCCTAGCATCAGTCCCCAAATCGACCTGAAAAATAGATTCAGAGATGTTCACTTCTATATTCTTAAAGATCCATTTATTCACTGCAGAGAAGCTGAATTTACCTCATACGCGCTTACGTCAGAGAACAGAACCTGTGACAGGCAAAGGAGAAAGATATGAAGAGAAGAAAAATCACAGTAGTTACAATGGGTGATGAGTGATGACTATGTCTTTGAGAAGAAACCATTACCTTCTTCCCAGTCCCAACTTGTTGTCCAACCTCAGAACCAACAGAGATAACCTAAAATGATTCTCTAATCTTATTAACAAAAAAGCCATATACAAGCAAATATGCCCAAGTCATATATTAACATATGGAGCAATGACTTACCTCTCCTGTTAAGTACCTCTCAAACTTCACAGCTGCTTTAGGCAACAAAACTCCACCTGAAGATTTCTGCAAGAAAAAACCGTTAAAGTTTTAAGAACTTTCTTTGGCAGTTGATATCAATAACAGTCTAATTTCAACTTGAATTTGCTTCTTAATAAAAGTGACATTTCAGACAATGAAGGAGCTAGACTAACAATAGGAAGGTCTTCAAGACGAACAAGAACCCTGTCTGCCTGAGGAACAACCTGCAAATTATCATATCAACACTTATAGTTCCATTTCAAAACAGAGAAATCAATAAAATTGCGGCTGAAACTAAACGAAAAGGCAGTACCTTTGTCGGATCCCACTTAGTGGAAATCGCTTTGATTCTAAGACAACCTCTTTGACTTCCTGCAGATACACGAGGGGAAAAAAATCAAGAACAAAAAACAATTTAAATCCGGAAGGGAACAAACATAATAAGTTTGAGATATGACAGTACCTAGAAGCCTGTGGTTAGCTGTAGGAAGGGTACTGGTTTTGACCGGGAAAGCAAAGAAAGGTTTTGGTAGAGAGACGAAAGTAGAAGCCATGGCAGGATAAGGTTTTTGCAGAAGCAGCAGCAAGATCTTCTTCCTCCGTCGCGACTTTAGCTCTCGACATTTCTCGTTGGTTCTTCTTATTTTTTATACTGGACCAATATTACGGCCCATTTACCTACCTATTAAGATCCAATATATTTACGACAGACCAGACCAGTTTTCCAAACCGATGTACAAAATCGTTAAGTTTTTTTTTTTTTTTTGGTCATCTTATCGTTACGTTTTAAACTCTCTACTATCAAAACTACGGGGAAACAAAAATCATTTTTATATGCATTACATAGTATTAAAATCAAATAGCTCAAATTACTAGAACAAGAACTATGTCAGGATCCTCCGGAGCTGCCAAATCCAAGAGTACATAATACCAACGGTACAGTATGTTGAGATCAACATTAAAGGGATAAACGGGAATTTGTCACCTAGAAAATACGGATGCAAGAATTGAGACACCATCTCTACTATAAACAAACCCATTAGATAGCTCTTTTCAAAACATCCTATCTTAAACTTGCTCTTGATTTCACCACTCTCCTTCTGAGCCTTATTTTCTGCGTATTGAGCCGTAAACCCGAGCAACATTACCGTGGAATGCAATAACAGCAACAGAACCTTGATCGGGTATTCCTGTGGCTCATATAAGAGTGGAAAGAGGGAATAGCAAGAAACTGCAGGAGGAACACAGATATTAGACAATGGAATGATTGATTCTGCACAAATGTGGGTGCTGGTTCAAAGGAGAATATGATATACCTATTGAAACCAGAAAGTAATGTTTAGCATCTTCTACACTCTGCACTGCAACAATTGCAAGTGGGATGGTGAAGTGAAGTGATGCTTTCTCATGGACGTGCCATCCAAACAGAAAACCACATGTATATGCATAAGCTATCCATCTGGCAACAAGCCACGGGTGTGTTTTTTTCCAGGCTTTGACGAGACATGGAAATATCGCAAGTGATACCATTGCAAACGTTATCAATGGGGTGATCTGTCATATCACCAGTCCAAGAGAAATAAGATCGCGCAGAACATTTATGAAATATGAAAGAGATAGACAGAAAACAGAATGATCAACCGAGTGTAGTACCTGCGGGAGAACTGCAAAAGGTGAAGAATTCCCAACTAAACCACCAGTGAAAGAAGCAGAAGGGATCTGAATATCGAAACCGAGCTTCCGTAGCAAAAAGGCAAGCCCTTTGTCGAGTATTATATAGAAAACCCAAAAATTAGGTGCCCAGTATGCATGGCACAATCCTCTCCCGAAAGGAAACATTCGACTAATGACTTGCTGTATCTGCAACACAATAAGAAAACACAAAACTGCCACCATAAGATGTTTTCCCAATAGATCTATTTAGGGAAAGGTTCGACTTGATATACAGAGGTTCACTGGTTAATTTCTATTAATCTAAACATCGGCATTGTCTTTCTCTGCAAAAACAGGACAAATCACTCATGAAATCACCAAGGAAGAGAAGTTTGATGACAGTCATTTCTCAATGTGTACTTGTGCCCTCTCAGATGAGATAAGCTCTCTAACACCAAAATTTCCAACAAATTCAAACTCTTAAGCCATATCAAGCAGCAACAAATGACTTACAATCTCATAAAGATATCAAGAACAAATCTTCAACTAGAACTCTGCAGAATTTGGCTATATTTCTCAACATTGTAGATAATAATACAGGGAAAGCAAAAAACAACACTTTCTATCATCAAAAGAAAGAAGAACTAATACCAACCTGTCCATGATAGATAAACGGTCCATACGCGGCGGCAAAAACCGCCACAACCACGGCACCAATAGTTACAAGCCGTCGGACACCGGTAACTAGACCGGACCAGCAATAATGCCTCAGGAGATAAACAAAGTAAACCGGAGCAGCGACGGCAAACAAATGCTTAAAGCACAGGAGAACAGAAAATAAGAACCCACCCAACAGATCTCTCCCTTCTTGAAGAAACGAAATCGAAAGCAATAACCAACCCAACAAAAATCCATTATACTGAAAATGAATATGATCTACGATCAATAGCCCCGGAGACCAAATCACCAATGCGCAAATCAGATTTCGCTTCATCGGATCCAATTTTCGAGTCAATCTGTAAACGCCGTAGAGAAGACATAGATCCGACAAGATTACGCTAATTCGTTGGAAGTAAATTACAGATTCGGCATCGTAATCAAGTCCTGAATGAAGATTTACGATCCTGGGATCGACGAGACGCGCGAAAACAGAGAGGAAGCGTTCGAAATAAGCGAAGAAAGGAGGGTAATCGAGGGTCCATTGGCTAGTCTCGTCGAAGTACCATTTGGTAAGTGGAAGAGAGTGTGTGATAGCGAGCCAGTTCCGGTGGACCTCGAAATCAGTGCTCCGGTAAGATGGGATGAGAAGAAGTTTCACGGCGGTGGCCACGGCGAAGAACCATAGCAGGAGTCGCCGGTCATTGTTCTTCCGGTAATCCATCTCGGCACCGATAACATTAGCGACCGTTGATTACAAAACCCATTGATATGGGCCTGCTTTGGACCAAGAACAGGCCCATTTGTTAAAGGTACGTTTACGTGGAGCTGTAGACATGGCACTACGTAAATGGTTGCAAACATATGACATGGCACTCCGGACAAATTTGATTTTAATATCGGTTTAAACCGGTTAAACCAGAAAATAAATGAAAATGATTGTGAATGAATAATTTCCTACCTACCTACCTTTTACAACCGCCCAAAAGGAAGTAGCTATTGGCTAGAGCCTAGAGGTAGACCGTCTAAAATTAACCAACGGCTGTGATCATTTCACAACCCGACGAATCTGTGAGATCAGATCGTAACCGTAGAATGGAAACAACAGATTTAATAATTTCCAAGCATGACCTTTGTCAAAGCGACACGTATCAGGAACTACGATCTTAGCTGGCGCACGAGCGAGGATGACCGCACGTGTCGATTAACAGAAGAAGAGAAAAAAGGGTAGGGCAAACGGGGTACAAGGGCAGCTGTCATGGGCCCGAGAGACAAGGACGTTGATTATTGGGCCTAAAGAGAGGTGATGGTGGGGCCCATGGAAAACTAGCAAGTCTGAGTCAGCTCCTCGTTTGATATTCCCAACTATGACGCCTTGTTGTATCGACAGATGACAAGTTGTGTGGTCCAGTCACCCAATTATGTTCCTTTTTTTATTTTTGGAACTTTATTATTATTATTGATCACTACAAGTCTACGATACATACACCATTGTATTTTTGTATGTATTAATAAGCATAATAGGTTTTTCTTAAATAGTGTTTTTCTTAAAAAGGGTTTATTATTGGGTTTGCTGTTTGTAATGTGAGTCATTGCTTACTCAGATACATTCAGTTTTCTTGACGTGATCTTATTTTAATTGAATATATTATGTTAGTGTTTTCTTACCTTTTGAGTTTTGAACTTTTATTTTATTTTCCTTAAAGTCAGAAGTCTGCTGCTGTTTCGTGTTATTAGAAAGATTCGTATATAATTCATTTTTAAAAAAATAATGTGTTATTTAAGTCGGTATCTTATATTATATAGTACTATTTATGTAGTTTCAAGAATGTGACACGTATAGTTACGCATTTATAGTATTATTTAAAAAACGAGAACTGAACTCCCGACTGTAAAAAATTGATATTTTTATAATAAATGTCAATAAAATAGGTCGGTCACGCTCTTGCTCGTTTATTAATTATTACATTGTATATGTTGAATGTACACATGTTCTAGAACCTTATGACAATTCATATCAGTTTGTGTAAGATTTATGAGTAGTACATATTTAGATCGTATGTGTTCTAGTCTTCTAGAACCCTAATTATATACTAGTATGAGAGAGTTATTTAAATTACATCCAATGTTAGATTCTCTGGAAGTCTTTTTTTACCTGGAGCTGTACACGTGTACGAAGATGTTTTTGTCTGATTTGGAAACACGAATAAATCTATCACTCTACTGTAGTAATAATTTTTTTTTTATTATAAGAAAGAACGTTACTGTCTCCTATAGAAGAAGTAAATGAAAATACATATAAGTACAAAGCAAAGCATTAAACAAAACAAAACAAAAACGAGAGGTGATAAATAAATTACACACACATGGGAATGAAACAATGTCCAGGCGAAATGTATCCTAGAAAGAAAAAAAAAAGTACACACGAGAGACGAGAGAGAACACAGATTTAACAAATACAAAATTATATTTTTAGTGAATTATATATATATAATTTTTTTTTTAAGAAAGATTCAACAAAATGAAAAATTGTATATATGGGGAAAAGTCCATCAATCATGCGGTATGCATGTTATTGTGGCCAACGAATCTTACAAAAACGCAAGACTTGTTTGATTCCCCTCCTCCAACCAGATCCACCCAAAATTATATATCATTTGTATTCCACTTAACTATTAAATAATACTTGTATAATGTATGGTTCTCTATTGCTCGGGTCGACAAATACCATAATATAAAAAAAATTGCTTAGGTTTACTTGAAATTCGTTATTACAATTTACACTAATAAAACACACAAAAACGAAAGAAATGGTAAATGGTACGGACGAAGAGTTAGATTCACTGTATTCTAACTTTTTTAGGGTAAACTAAATTAATCAGAAAAAGGAATTTACCCAACACAAAAAAAAAAGACAATTTAATATTTTAAAAAAGTAATGAATTATTGAACTTTAACGTATTAGATCTTTCGAGATGAGATTCGGTTACGATGAGCGGTGAGGATTGATCGTAGAGTACTGTAACTCAAGTGGTTCGTGACACAGCTGATTCACTCAAGTCAATGAGACCGCCTTTATATATCAACACCAAATCAACCAGCTTCTTCCTCCTCCTCCTCTTCTCTCTTCTGCTTCTTCTTCCTCTCGAATCTGCAAATCATCTCGCAGTTGCTTTATTTTTCGAAAAGTTCGAAAGTTCTCGTTTTTAGTGAATGGCTTCGTATTACTCTGGGTATTTGAGTTGTGAAGAGCCTCACTTTTTGGAATCCTGTTCTCTCTGCCGTAAACACCTTGGTCTTAACTCCGATATCTTCATGTACAGGTACTGAGATTCGTTTCAATTCTTTTTCAAGATTTAAACTTTTCTAATACCCAAATCAGATTCTGGATCTGAGTTTTTCGGAAAGTTATATAATTTGGTCTGGTTCTGATTGTTTTTTTCTTCTTCTTTTGGGTTTTGTAAATTTAACAGAGGAGACAAGGCCTTTTGTAGCAAAGAGTGCAGAGAAGAGCAGATTGAATCTGATGAAGCTAAGGAGAGAAAGTGGAAAAAATCTTCAAGATCTCTCCGGAAAAACTCTGCTGAAACTAAAGAATCCGTCGCCGGCAACACCGTACGGACAGGAACTCTTGTCGTGGCTTAGTAGAAATTTTTATTTACATAAGAAAAAAAAAAGTATGAAGCAAATAGTTTTTTTCTTTTGTATACCTTTTTGTCTAAAAATCTATCATCCTTCGAATCAAAAACCCTTCTTAAACCACTCTTATCTCCCAAGCTATAAATTAGCTACAGAAAGTTTCTGCTCTGTTTCTATTTTGGATCAGAGATGACTAATCCGATGTCGGAATCTGAGAAACTGTAGATCTGGTTTGTGTAAATGAATGTAAAGTTTTTGGGGAGGGGAGGGAGTGAGATTGTAAGAAGAAAGATGCCATGGTTTTGTAATCTTGGGGTTGAAATTTTGTTCCATGTTCCATAAGAAACAGAGCATTACTATGTTCTAATAAAAATTCAAATTTCTTTTATCTTCCTATGATCGATTCGTAATCGTATCTTATATACCGACATGATTTATTTATTCTGGTGTTGTTTAAATCTTTGGATTTACTGATCGTACTCATTGAGTTGTATAAATGGAAAAACTTGTTTTGATTTCCAGAACACATTAGCCTTTTCCCGATTGTTCTTGGCGGTAATGCACTTTCACGGCAATTAACTATAGAACTCCGGCGAATCTTTTAAATGTGTAAAAGTGACAGCTCTTTTTGGGCCTAAAATGGGCTTCTCACGCAGCCTATATACGTTAAGACATTGACACTTCCCACCTTCTATGTAACAAATTAATAAGAAGTCAGAATTAATCAAGGTCATCAGATATTTGTGATTAATCTACTAGTCATGGGTAATAGTTTATGTGCGTTTACTTCTTCTTTAAGGAATGAAGAAAATGTGCACCTTTGACTTTCTCAACAACACCCTTATTTATTACATTCAAGATTTGGTTCACTAGCGCAATGAAACGATAAACAATGTTCTTTTTCAAGTCTCATTATGCACGTTCAAGTGTCTCCTCCTGCATATTTTGGATATCCTGTATTTACTAGTTTCATATATACCAAACGTTATTAATAGGTGAATCCAGATGATTGAACCGTTAAGATTCTCAGATGGACAATGGAGAGTCTTTAAGATTCTCAGATTTGAGGAAGTTGATGCAGCGAATGTGATTTCAGCTGCTGGCTTCCCCAAAAGCCTGGCCAAATTGAATACATATCCATCATGATTTCAACATATTGAGCTTCAATTTTGAGCATTTAGAGTCGCCTTACTGTCCATGAGAGACCAATATTGATCTCATTGCAAAACCAGCTGTGTTTAGATTTGTATGTATCTTTCATTGATTCTTTAGCGTTGTTTAAACTCCACTTACGAAGCTTAATTCAATTGGAGATTGCTTAATGGAGTTGGTAAACATTTGATCAATCTTTGATTGTCTTTCAATCATTTTCAATAACTTGTCAAGTATATATTATAGATAGTCCACGATTCATGGAGGATATTGAGGGGACTGAAATACCATGAAACAAAACTACGCATGGGGGATGAGTCATCCCGGATGACACATCGACGTATCTTATTAGAACAAAAAGTTCAATACGATTTGACAGTGATTGTAAAAGGAAAGATTAGTTCCGTATAACACAAGAAACTTTAGATAAGTACGAATACAAAGAAAAATCTCAGCACTTATAGACAACAGTTAAGCAAAATCCACCCATCTGGTAAATGATTTAATTGATTACTCACATGTAAAGAATATCCCAAGATTCATGTACCCACCAAAGAACGGTTCTATAGAGAAGATCCTACTTAGAATTTCCAAGATTACATAGTGAAAAATCTTCTGAAGTGTCGACCTTTTTCCATTAGAGCTCTTCTCATCCTCCAAATGCAGTTTAGTATCATCCATATCAAACCCGTGACCATCAGAAGAAAGGTGGTTGAGCCACCATCAACCACAGGACTGGTGAGCGAAGAGAGTATCATTGCTTGTTGTGTACCTTGAAGCCAAAGATCTTAGGGACGTAGTTTTGAATCGGCTTCTGCGGTTTCATGTTCCCATAGGCCATGAGAAACAAATGAGGGAAAGTTGTTCCAAAGTAAGCTCCATCAATGTCTGCAATAAGCATTAAGGAAAAAAACACTAAGACAAGTGGACAACACTCTTTGGCCAAAGAGTTATCCAAGCAGACAGGCTAATCGCAATGTGTAACCAAACAATCGCAGAATGCATCATGTATTGCTATGAGAAGATAATGCTTTTTTGAACAAAGGAAAAAAGGATACTGCCTTGGTATTTAGATCGCGGGTAGTAAATATCCTCGCATTTCGGGCAGTATATCTTCACCGTGCTCGACCTTGGGATGTCAGATTGCCCAACCGGAAGACAAGATTGTCCACAACAGAAAACTCTCGGGCATCTCCCGAAATCATAGTTCTTATACTTCTCCATCTACAAAAGAAATTCATCAAAAGACGTCAATGTCATTTAAAAGATCAATAAGAAGCAAAGATAGAAGAAACTAAAGAAGTCTTCTTTCTTACCATAGCAGCCATTCCTTTAGTAGTGAGTATATAACGAACATGAATAAGACCATATAACATCTCAGCAGCTGACTCCACCATCTCATTCTGCTCTTCAGTAAACATATCACCTAATCCAATAAAAATTCCCCCAAATTATACTAAAAGATGAGACAAAGTAAAGCCAAATATGATCAAAGTACACTTTCACTTACCATTTGATGATTCAACGTCCAAAATGAGATCAAGTGCGTAATCATAGTAAGGAACTTGACCACTCAATCCACAGAGATTAAAGTCATCTTGTATATAATCTTCATCTACTTCACAGAAGAACTCATTCCCTCTCAAATTACAAAACCACGAGATCCACGAGGTATCATCACCTTCTGAACCACTCACATCTGATCCTTCACTATCCGTTTCAGATTCAACTGCAAACAAAAAAACCAAAATTTATTATTACCCAAATCAGAAAATCTCCAGATAGTACTAAAGAGCAGATGAAATAGAGTGGGATTAAAGCAACTAACCATCGGGTGAGCGAGAATTAAGCTGAGATTTAGCAGACGAAGTTGAAGGGAAGGAATCTTTATCCTTAGAAGTGAAAACCCTAGATGTAGACGGTGAAGATTTCTTAAGATGTTTGTCTAAAGCATCATTGATTCGTTTCCGATCAATAGCTCCACCAAGGATCTCCGATCTCGATGATCCACCACCACCCATTATTCCTCCTCCACTCCGATCCTTGAACATAACTCGATTCAATCCCCTCAGTGAAAAATCAAAAAAAATTCAGCTTTAAGATCCTCAAAGTCTTCGTCTTTATTATCATCGGAACAAGGAGAGAGGCGGAGAAATCTAGGGTTCCTTTGTCCGGATATTTTGATCACAGAGTGGAAGAAAGAGAGAAGAGGTAAAGAGTGCTCTGCTTTTTCCTGTGGTTTTTTCTCATTCTCTACTGTTTTGTTTTCTTCTCTTTGATTTTTTTATTATTGTTCAATTTTTTTATTCTACTAAATACAAATGGGCTTTTCTTATTGGGCCTTTCGATACTGACAGTAGTAGTAATACAACGAAGAAGATTCAAACATTCTTTTTGTACTTTTAAGTATGATTCTAAATTATATCTTAGGAAGAAAGGAATCATAAAGTTTAAGCTTTTTTTCTATTTTTGTATCAACACGTTAGTAATAATTGACATGAGCCATTCTTTCTTTCAAATGATGCTCTGTTTGGTGGTCGATCCATTGTCTAAACTAATATATAGATCTAGATATTATGGAAATGTAACTCATAAACACCACATATTATCATTTTGCTGGAAACGTTTGTGAGACTTTTGATTCTTTACACACAAAAAAAAAGTCAAATTGAAGAAATAGTTGCATAATAAAGCAAAGTCTTTTGTATTGGAAAAAACGGGGAAAAAACGAACCCACCGAATTAAAAAATAGACTCTTTTTGTAGGCTTTTGGCTCTCTGACAGCTCAAATTAAAGTTGACTCCTTTTTTTTCCACTCTTTCAAAAATCTTGCAGCTTTAATCGTCTCGTCTCATTCTCCTTCTTCGCTTAAACCAGAAGCACGGAAAGAGACACAAAGGGTAACTTCTCAATCAATGTCAGCTTCAGTGGCTGCTACAGCAACAACATCAACAACAGCTACAACGTTTATAAAGTGCGTCACTGTTGGCGATGGAGCTGTGGGCAAAACTTGTCTTCTTATCTCCTACACCAGCAACACTTTCCCCACTGTATATATCTATATCCATCTCTCTCTCTCTCTTGGATTGCTTTTTCTGTTTTATGGCTTTTGGTGACTATTGATCTCCTTGTTACAGGATTATGTTCCAACAGTGTTCGACAATTTCAGTGCAAATGTTTTAGTCGATGGCAAAACTGTCAATCTTGGTCTCTGGGATACTGCTGGTATATATGTTTTTACTAAATGTCCAACTTTGTTCTTGTCTTTAGATTTATATCCTCAACAATATGTCAAGGTCTTAAAGAGGATTGTTACTTTTGACTTTGTTTCTATCAATTTTGAACTTATCAAGTGGTTGAGAAAAAACTGAATCTTTACGCTGATCTTTAGCCATATGATACAAAAGTGTTTTGGTTATGAGTTAACTTTCAGATTTTGCTCATGCTTTTTTCAAAAATAAAACCATACTAATTATTAGTGTTGTGGTATAACAGGTCAAGAAGATTACAATAGGCTTAGACCATTAAGTTACAGAGGAGCAGATGTTTTCATTCTTGCCTTCTCACTTATTAGCAGGCCTAGCTTTGAGAACATTGCTAAAAAGGTAGAGGCTATGGTTCCTTTTTCCATTAGATTTCACTGCAATCTAACTTTACCACACAAACTCATGGGCTTGTGGACTCGTTTCTTCTTTGCAGTGGGTTCCAGAGCTGAAACACTATGCCCCGACCGTGCCTATAGTTCTCGTTGGAACCAAATTAGGTTTGTAGAAATGAACCAATCTGTGAAATCTGTTATATCTTGAATGTTAGGAATCTCACATCACTAAGTGTAAGAGATGTAATATAGTCTATAAGATCAAATTTCTTGATCTTGCAGATCTAAGAGACGACAAGCAGTTCCCAATGAATTATCCAGGTGCTTGCACAATCTCCACAGAACAAGTACGTATGTTTCTTTAAAGATTCTTCTTCAAGAACCATGTTAAGAATCAAACTCTTTTATAACCTTGAAGATTGTTTCTTTTTAGGGTCAAGAGCTAAGAAGGGAGATAGGAGCATTAGCATATATTGAGTGCAGCTCAAAAACGCAACTGGTAGCTAACTCTGATGCTTGAGTTACATTTTATAATTAGACCAAATATGTTGCAGCTCAATCTGCTAAAGAAAGACTTATGACGATGGTAACTTTGCAGAATGTAAAAGCCGTGTTTGATGCAGCGATCAAAGTAGTTTTACAGCCTCCTTCAAAGGCTAAGAAGCAAAAGAGAAAGATTGGTTTGTGCTATGTTCTCTGACTGGTTTACTCAAATCTCTAGCTGTGGTATCTTTTAAATACTATTTTTAGTGTGTTTCTTCAGTGAACAACTCTTGCAGCTCAAAATCTGCAGATTAGTATGTTTCATTATAGGAGTTTGATCTTGTAGCAGAGAGAGAGTGTTAACAGAGTTTGATCTTTTAAGCTAAGTCTCAACAATGTAAAATAAACAATTTGGTCATCTTTGAGTTTACCGTGTTCTAGACAACATATATTTTAACCGGTTTTAGCCGACTAAAACTGAGCGAGAGAATAAATAAACCGGATTTTGGTTTTGGCTATATAAGCGAAACCAAATTGAATACTCCTTTGAAAGTTCTCTCACTTGTTCTCACTAATCTCCTCCTGATAACTCTCGATGTCAAACTCCGAGGAACGACCGCGAAAAACGAACCGTCCGCCGTGGTCTTCATTGTCTCCGCCGTCATTGTTTTCACTACCACTGGACATCGTTTTAACCGTCTTAGCCCGGGTACCAAAACGGTATTACCCAATCCTCTGTTGCGTCTCCAAGAAGTTGAGGAGTCTTGTTCGCTCGCCTGAGATATTAAAGACTCGATCTTTACTCGGAAGAGATTTTCTTTATATCTGCTTCATCGAAGAACCAAAACGACTCAAGACTTGTCACTGGTTTAGTCTCCGCAGGACTGAGAACAATACGACTAAGAATGTCTTCGTCTCCATCGATTTCCCTTTGCTTCCGGAGCCTTGTCGTTACTCTTCTTCCGTCCTCGCGGTTGGTACAGAGATTTTCTTCATTCCCGGTTCTTGTATTCCCTCATCAAGCTTTTGGATCTGTGACACCCAATCTGGAAATGTTCGTGAAGGACCTCGTATGTTAGTGAAGCGATTGTACAATACCGTCGGACTAGTCGGCAGTAAGATCTATGTGATCGGAGGCTACAGAGGCAAAGAGATTCAAGCGGAAGTATTTGACTTAAAGACGCAAACTTGGAAAGCAGCGTCAACCCCTGAGAAAACAGAGTTTTCAACATGGATCACTCCGGCAAAGGTTTCCCTAGACAGGAAGGTTTGTGCTTTAAGTTCTTATGATGGAGACATGACTTGTTACGATACTAGAGATGGTTCTTGTGAGAGAACTGAGTTGCCTAATGACAAATGGTGGAGGACAGGAAAGTGCGTGATTGATAATGTGCTCTACATTCACTTCTCTAGATTCGGTTTAATGTGGTATGACACTGAACTGATGATCTGGAGAGTAGTTTATGGTTTTGATCTCGACAAAGCTGGATGCGTTGGGATGGCTGAATACTATGGGAAGATGGCGTTTCTATGGGAAAAACCAAGTCTTGTTGATAATGAAAGCAAAGAGATTTGGTGTAAAATGATTGGTTTGCTTAGGAGTGACGTGGGAATTCATGGAACTGCAGAACCCTCTCAACTTCTCAAGATTGTTCCTAGCAGCTTTAGTTCTTACCATTGTCTGTCTCTTGGTTAAACTCGAGATCTATTGTTGACGAAAAGGTAAGTGTTAAAGTATTTTGCACACAAAAAATAAAAGAAAAAGAAGACAAGTGTTTAGTACTTCTTTGGTGTACAATGATCTGGTTTTGGATAGGAGTTGCTGTATTTCTCTTGTCCTTGTCTACTAAACCGATTCAAATGAAAACCGAAACTGTTACATATACTGTATGCTATTTTATTAATAAGTTTGTATTTTTATATATCAAATTAGGTTATAGAAATAAACCAATATGTGAAATCCATTATCCATTACAGCTTGTATGTTATTAATAAGGTAAAGAAAAATATGCAATGTCGTACATATAAGATCAAATATATTGGTCTTGCAAGAGAAGACCAGGTAATCCCATTTTATTCGCCTCAATATAAAAAGGTTAATTATTATAATAATTTTATAAAATATTTTTGGTAGGATTTCTTTTTCACACAATTCCCAACAAAAATAAAATAACAAATCTTGATGAGAAAGTAACAAAAATCTATATATATTACAACAGTTCTCGACGAAACACAAAAAGAAAAAGATAAGAAAACCCTTCTGCCTCCACGCCGAGTCTTCGAGACGCCGTCACTCCGCAAACGTCGACACGGATCTTAGGCCTACGTACACGGGTACGACTTTGTTACTAGAATACTTTTGTATATATATCTCATTGTTGTTAACTAATCACGATTATGTATGAATTAGGGTTTACTAGTTTTTAGATAATTAAGATTTGCTGTTATCACAGCGACTATTTACCTAGGAATTTCTGATATTCTAGTTGCTTCATACTCGCGGACATGCATATTGGCAAAATAAGCATCTTCAAAAAAGTTCATATTATTGTACCATTATAATGATCAAGTTTATATACTTATTTAAAATACATATATAGTGGTTAATGTGAAATCATTGATAAGAATTTCTTGTTTGTTATAAGCTATCATGATTGCTCGGATAAGTGAGCAATGTGCACGGTGGCAGTGCTTCTCACAACCATCGGTATCAGGATCAGACTATTGCCAGCAGAGCTGCGTAATGATGGCTACTGATGCTTCAAAACGAAAACTCCCGATTTTGATGTCAATCCCATTATGTTCAATGTCTGAATATTACATTGCCAAAATTTTGCACTTTTTAAAGGCTAAAAGGGAGAGCGGAGTTCCTCACATGTCTCAAGATTTATTTAAAATCCCCCCCTTGGAAATCAAGTATGTAGTCTAGCTATAATCCCTACTTCCTTATATTAACTTTATGTTCCTTCTTGTATCAGGTTATTATATTATATTAACTTTATGTTCTCATTGCAGAAATGTTCTCCCTTCGGTATCTTGCAATGCCAAACAACTGGTTTTTCATTGGCTCATATGAGATTCCTATGACGATGGATTTCAAGTGGATAGAAGCTGATAGCAAAATGATTGGTCAAGTGTGGGCGGGAGGTCGTGATAGAGAGGCGATTAGTGAAATGAGACATTGCGTTTTCAAGCCGTTTTCTAGGGAAGACAAAAAATGGGAACTCCACCAGTTTTCAAGTCGGGATTTTATGGAAAAAGCTGTCTATGTGATGCTTTGCAACGAGTATACAATACCTGCCAGGAAGAGAAGAACAAGAAAAAAAAGAAAAATTGATGCACCGTTATCATCAGGTCCTAAAACTGATCCTAACACATATCGATCTAAGTGTAATTTCTTTTTCATATGTCATGTTTGTTTTCGTCACTTTTTGACACACCATGTTTGTGATGCATATATTGCAACAAAGAAGTTAGATCAAAGAAGAAGACTAATGAACATACTGTCAGAAAAAGAAAATGTTCTCTAAAAGATAGACTGATTGAAGAACCATTATCAGGTATTTTTGTAGTGTTCATTCATATGTCATGTTTTCTGTCTTTAGTAGTATGATACTAACTCTCAATTTTCGAGTTCTTCGAAACTAAGCAGCAGAGTATGAACAAACTGATTGCTTCATAAGGTTGTACTCGGAAATGGAAAGTTTGGAAAGGTATAAATGACTTCTTGATTTCGTTCATACATGCTTCAGCCTTAAAACCATTGTTATTATCTTAAAGGGACCTAATCTTAATGTCACAGGGTTGTTGCCTTGTTCGCGTCAGCTCATCAAAACGCTGATAAGAAGGATGTTTTTGCATCCGTTTCTAAGGAATTACGAAGGCAGATGGAGAATGTCAAGTCACATATCCTAACCGGGTATAAATGTTTCTTTAATAGATCATAGTTTTTTCTTGAGATCTTTTAACTTATATCAATATGATGTTATTAATTATTGTTGTACAGGGGAAAATTGAATAATCAAGGCAGAGGTACGAGGGAGCATGGTGAAACAAGATTCCGAGGTAAATAAAATATTAAATCAAATCACTTTGATCTGTTCTTTAAATTTATTTACGTTTTAACTTTTGAGTTTTAACAATACTTATTTTAGGGCTGGAGACAAGCCATTCAAAAGTGAAGCTTGAGAGCGAAGGTCTAGTTAGTGCGCACACAAATGTTAATTTTATTGCATCATTGTTATACAATTCTTAGTATTTTTTGTTTTTTTGGTATGTCGTTCTTGAAATTATATAGGTATACATAAACTTGACAGTTTCGCACGGTTGCACTCAGAAACAGGAAGTCTTGAAAGGTATATATGTGTTTTTGAAGTATCACTATCACTTGTATATACATTATAAAACGCTTTTAACCTTTACAAACTTTTTTTTTTTTTCTAAAATGAACTTAATCACTATTTTCAGGGCGGTCGCATTGTTTTCCTTGGCTCGTCAAAACATTGAGAAGAAATTGAAATCTAGAGACGAAGAGAAAAATCCCTCAAAAGTTTTAGCATGTGTATCGAAAGAGGTACATAGACAGATGGAGAATATCAAATCACATATCCTTACAGATGGAAACAATATAACAGTTAAGCTTGAGAGCGATTCTTAAGAGTATGTTATGTTACAGAATACATGTTACGAGGAATCTAATTAGATAAGTTATAAATTTGGCATATGATGTTATATTGATTTATTGGGTCTTGCCTAAATTTTAATATATTTTTATAAAACCGACTTCCATCTGTGCATATAGATCATCCTTGCCTCATTGAAATGTTGGGTTGAAGAAACTTCCCTATCTACTTGAGAAGATATATATAACAACCAAAGTCAAAGATTTTACAAAATTTGCATCAGATCCAAATTGGACCGTCCAATACATTCGTGCGTAAATCTTGACTTAATTAATTATGCTTTGTTTTCCTTTTTAAAAGATCGAGGAAAGCTGTGAATTACTTAACAGAGAACGCTTTATTTCAAGTTCAAGACAAACCGGTTTTAACCTATTAAAATTGAACGGGAGAAGAAATAAACCGGGGTTAGGCTCTTTACCAAATTGAATAAAACCACAATTGTTGTGAAAGAGTAGTCCGCCGCTAGTCTTGTTCAGTCTTCACCTAATAAACTGGTCTCGATGTCAAACCTCGCCGGCGAACCACCGCGGAAAACCAACCAACCGCCGTCGTCTATAATATCTTCACCGCCATCGTTTTCTTCACTGCCATTCGACATCGTTTTGAACGTCATAGCACGCGTCCCAAAAAGGTATTACCCAATCCTCTGTTGCGTATGCAAGAGCCTGAGGAGTCTCGTTCGCTCGCCTGAGATTCAAAAGACTCGATCTTTCCTCGGCAAGGATTCAATTTACCTATGCTTCATGAACAGAACTAAGCACCCCGATACATTTGACTGGTTCACTCTCCGCAGGACTGAGAACAGTACGACTGAGAATGTCTTCGCCTCCATCGATTTCCCCTGTCCTTACTCTGCTTCCACCGTCGCGGTTGGTCCTGAGATTTTCGTCTTTCCCGGATCTGATAGTACCTCACCATATTTCTGGATCTTTGATACCCAATCTGGAAAGGTTCGTCAAGGACCTAGATTAATAGTGAAGCGAAGAACCACTAGCGTAGGACTAGTCGGCGGTAAGATCTATGTGATCGGAGGATGCAGAAGCGACAAGATTCCAGCGGAAGCATTTGACTTAAAGACGCAAACTTGGGAAGCAGCGCCGATTCCTGACGCAATTGGGAGATTTATATGGATCTGTGGGGCAAATGTTTCACTAGACAGGAAGGTTTGTGCTATAAGCGTTCATGGGGGCATGGTCTGTTACGATACTAGAGATGGTTCTTGTGAGAGATCTGAGTTGCCTAATGACACATGGTGGAAGTCGGGAGTGTGTGTTATAGACAATGTGCTCTACGTTTACTTCTCTAGATTCGGGTTAATGTGGTATGACACTGAGCTGCTGCTATGGAGAGTGGTTTATGGTTTGGATCTTGGTAAAACTCAATACGTTGGAATGGCTCAATACTATGGAATGTTGGCGTTTATATGGGAAAAGCCAAGGCTTGATTGTCGTAAAGACAAAGAGATTTGGTGTAGAATGATTGTTTTGGATCGGATAATTGAAACAGGAATTCATGGGACTGCAGAACCGTCTCAACTTCTCGGGATTTTTCCTCGCCGCTGTACCATGTTTCGTCTTCTGTCTATTTCCTGATAAACATGATGTTTAGTACTTTCTTTAGTAAATGATGATGTTTAGTACTTTCTTTTACAAGTCTTGTCAGTGGTGAAAGCAAAGAGATTTGGTTTAGAATGATTGGTTTGCTTAGGAGTGACGTGGGAATTCATGAAAGTGCAGAACCCTCTCAACTTCTCGGGATTCTTTATCAGCTTTTGTTTTTACCATTGTCTATCTCTTGGTTAAACTCGAGATCTATTGTTGACGATAAGTGTTTAGTACTTCTTTGGTGTACAATGATCAGGTTTTTGATAGGAGTGAAGTAAGGTATCAGATGACTGTAGCACCGTCTCAACTTCTCGGGGTTGTTCCTTGTGGCTATAGATTGCAGCATTGTCTTTCTCTTTCGGGTCAAAACACTAGAGATATGTTGATACTTGATTGTAAATGATGATGTTTTCGTTAGTCATATTAAAAATGTCAATGAAGTTTACAGAATTATGAATGTCCAGCTGCACTAAGTTTGTGTGATTGTATTTCAGCATTGTGTGTTTACTTTCTTTGATTATGAGTGTGCTACTGTGTTTACGTCTTTCTTCATTAATATTGCAGTTTCGCCTAATCAATTTTACACTATTCGCTTAACAAGTTTGTGTGATCGCAAATTCACAGAGTTTTGTTTGCTTCTTGTGTTTCTCTTTCCCCTCTGTACTAAACCGATTCAAATGATCTCCTAAACCGGATAATACAAAATTACAAACACACTTGAGAAATTCAGTCAAGCTATGTTCAGTACGAGTAAAAAAGGCCCATTAAGGCGTGGGATGATATATTTGGGCCTAAAGCCAATATTTCTTACCGTTTTTAGTTTACAACACCGAAATAAAAGCTTGATCGCCACGTCTTTATTTTCTTTATAGAATAATATATAGTTTTATTTTATTTTTATCCCAACAAGCTCAGGCTATCATCTCTCCGTTAATTAGGGTTTTCTTCTCTATCTCGATTTCAATACCATTGTTGATCCGCTGAGCTAGGGTTGTTCGATTCCGACAATTGTGTGGCTTAGTTCTGTTATTTTCTCTTTGAATTGGGTTCATCTGTTCTGTTTCTAAAGAGAACATTGGGAAGCGATGCCACCGAAGGTTGTAAAGAGGGGAGGCGCCGCGAGAAGGGGCGGGAGGCTTACGAGATCGGCGATCAAGGCTCAGAATATGCCGATGGAGTCTGCCCAGGAAGAGTCTGTTAATATCGGTGAGCTATCTGGCTCTGATGCTGTGGAAGCTAAGGCTGTGACGCCGGAGGCAGATAAAACTGTGGAGGAAGAGAATCCATTAGATGGGCCGAAGCCATCGGATATGATTGATGATTCTGTAGCTGCAGCGAATTCGAATGATGTTGTTCCGTCGAAAAGTAAGTTTCTTCTTAGCCTGGTTTTAAAATTTGTTTCGTTTTTTCTGCTATCTAGTTAACTATCACATCGTTTCATTGTTTTTGATGGATCTAAGTTTCGCTTTGACGAAAGTTTGTGACTTAGACTTCCAACATATCTGACCATAGAGATTAACAAAGTAAGAATAAATATATCTGACTATAGAATGTTTGGATTTAATTTGGATGATGAATTTAGGGATAATTGTTCTAAATTTTGTGGAAGATAGACGTATCTTCCGGGTTTGTTATCTCTGAACAAACTTTAGGCAACCTCGAATAGTATAGATGTTTTACTCGCTTTTGCTCGCAGAGGAGACTGAGGTAAAGGATTCTGTGGATGAGTACGGAAAAGATGAAAGATTGGATTTAGATGACAATGAACCAGAGTATGAGGCTGAAGAATATGGTGGGGAGGAGTTTGAAGAGAGAGAATCGGGACAGGAGGATCATGAGTTGGTAAATGAGGAGGAAGAAGAACTGCACGAGGAGATTGAGGTCGACGACGATGCTGGTGAGTTTGCAGACGAGATTGGAGATGGTCAGGAGGAGCTTGAGAGTGAGGATGATGATGAGCATGCTAATGAAGAAGTCAAACATGGAGACACCGTTGACTTGGATGAAGAAGAGCATCATGATCTTCTGCATGAGAGACGTAAGCGTAAGGAGTTTGAAATATTTGTTGGAAATCTGGACAAAGGTGCTACCGAGGACGACTTAAAGAAAGTGTTTGGTCACGTGGGAGAGGTGACTGAAATTAGGATTTTGAAGAATCCTCAGACAAAGAAGAGCAAGGGTTCTGCTTTCTTGCGTTTTGCAACTGTAGAACAGGCAAAACGAGCTGTTAAAGAGCTTAAAAGCCCAATGGTAATCGTCTACACTTAAGTATTTGATGGAGAGTTTGTGTAGCTTTACATTGTATATCATGCTCTTGGTCATTGGGACTGCAGATCAATGGTAAAAAGTGTGGTGTAACTGCAAGCCAAGATAATGATACCCTCTTCATAGGTAACATATGCAAGACATGGACCCCAGAAGTTGTAAGTATTTGGGTGTCCGTAGATTTGCCAATTAAACCCAACTTCACAGTACGTGGAAATCCTGACCATCAGGTATTTGTTGTTGTTCCAGTTGAGGGAGAAGCTGAAATACTATGGAGTTGAGAATGAGGATGATATAACGTTGGTAGAGGACAGCAAAAATGTCAACATGAATCGAGGGTATGCCTTTTTGGAATTCTCATCTCGCTCTGATGCCATGGATGCTCACAAACGTCTCCTCAAGAAAGATGTGATGTTTGGAGTTGACAAGCCTGCAAAGGTCTCTTTTGCTGATTCTTTCTTAGACCCGGAAGATGAGATAATGGCGCAGGTACTCACTTTGCAGGATCATTTATTTCTTTCAACTTTCATCCTACAATGTCTTCTTAAGAGCGATGGAGGAGTTTATAAGGGGAGGTGTGGGTGCCACCTTTTCACTTAATAGGATTTTTTACCGTTTCTGGGTGGTGACTTGGAATAATTTCTAAACCAGTAATGAAAACAGACTCAGAATACATTTTCCTTCTGGCCCTCTAATGACATGCTAGATACTGAATTATTGATTGTTGATGAATCTATTATATCTCTCTGCTCATAGTGCTTAATTTGGTATAATTTCTGGTGTTACAGGTTAAGACTATCTTCATTGATGGTCTGTCACCTTCATGGAATGAAGAACGTGTCAGAGACCTTCTGAAAAGATATGGTAAACTTGAAAAAATTGAGCTTGCTCGTAATATGCCATCAGCAAGGAGGAAAGATTTTGGCTTTGTTACTTTTGATACTCATGAAGCTGCTGTGAGCTGTGCCAAATTCATCAACAACTCAGACCTAGGCGAAGGGGAGGACAAGGTAAGCATATTTTATTTCCTCATCCAGTCATCCTTAATTCATTTTCCACACAAATATTACTGTGCTTTCTAATTCTCTTTTATATTTCCAGGCAAAAGTGAGGGCACGCTTATCTAGACCACTTCAGAAAGCAGGTAAAGGCAGACAGTCCAGTCGTTCAGACCAGCGGTCTAGGCATGGGAGTGGACGGTCTGGAAGGAGTTCATTTGCTCGTCTTCCACCCCGAAGCCTTGCTTCCTCCCGGAGTGCTAGAGGCGTTGGATCTCGGGCCCCATCTTCTAGTGCAAAGAGAGCTGCTGGATCAAGGGGAAGACGTCCACGCCCACCTCTACCTCCGCCTGCAAGGGCCAGACCCTTGCCACCACCTGCTAGGTCATATGATAGAAGACCTGCAGGTACTACTGGACTTGTTGTTTTTCCATGTTTAGTTAACTTCTTTACTTGAACATCTTTTCTGTTCATTTATCTGATCATATTCTTCCATATTGTGTTTTTTAGTTCCTCTGTATCCAAAGGCTAGCTTAAAGAGGGACTATGGTCGGCGTGATGATCTTCCTCCTCCAAGAAGCAGACCAGCTGTGAGCTATAGTTCGAGGCTTTCTCCTGAGAGGCATCTGTCTTACAGAGATGATTATGCACCTCGTGGCTCTGGTTATTCAGATCTTCCCAGAAGTTCTTCTCGCTCTGAAATGAGGAGGCCATACGTGGATGACCCTTACAGTTCAAGATATGAAAGACCTCCAAGTTACAGTGAAGGAAGACCTCCAAGTTACAGTGAAGGAAGACCCCGTGCTTATGAACCTCTTCCTGGATCAAAGCGTCCATATGCTGCATTGGTATAATTTCTTGCTCTCTCTGGCCATTTTTTTTTTTTTAATCTTTTCATCTTTCGACTACATGATTGGTAATTTTAACGAGTTTCATTATTCAGGATGACATTCCTCCTCGTTATGCTGACGTCGATGTTCGCCATTCAAGAGCCCGTCTGGACTATGATGTTGGCCCATCTCAGTATGGGGAATCTTATGGTGACAGGTGTATTCTCTTTTTATGGATATCTTCAGTTATCTAGGTTTCATTTTTCTTTGTGCCAAGTGTATTATTTCCTTACTTCCATGTTTGGTGTAGGATTCCTAGATCTAGTCTAGGATATGGAAGCAGCCGAAATTCTCTGTCAAGTCATGAGTCGCGTGGCCCATACAGCAGTCGTCACGGAATGGATTATGGAGGAGGTTTGATTCAGAACTTGCTGTTGTGACTAACATATAACAATACTTACATCGAAATGCAAACACTGACATGGCTATAATTCCATTATGTTACTTTTCTTCAGGCTCTTATAGTGGCAGCGATGTAGGAGGGATGTACTCCAGTAGCTATGGTGGTGACCTACCCAGAAGAGATGTAAGTGGCTTCACAATGTTCCTTTCTCTTTCTTTTTTTTTGAAAAGTTAAATTTGTAACATGTTATTGGATTTGCAGGGAGGAGGTAGCACGTATTCTTCAATTTACTCAAGCCGTGGCTTGAGTGGTAGTAGTTACTCTGGTGGTGGTCCAGGATCATACTACTGAATGTGAGTGAGTGATAATTTTTGTCCCTTCCATATTTTTTAGTTGTGTCTTAGTGCAGTGGTGTGGTTTTCTTTGTGGGAGATATGGTTGGATTGAAGGAACTATAGATGAAATGTGTGATAAAGTTTGTAAATGAAAAACAGATTTCTGATGAACGCGGCTGCTGCTAAAAAAAAGGAGGTTTGTCCATGCGAAGTTGTGCAGAAAGAAGCTACCGGCTGCGGAAGGAAGATTAAACCCAGCTTCGGTGAGATTGTTGGAATATTAATGTGCTTGCATCTTCAACTGCACTTGCATCTTTTTTTTTCCGGATGGGATGATAAAGGTCGGAGTTTTATAGAGATGGTTCATAGTTGCTGGACTCGTGATGTATCTATCTCTTAGTTTTCATTCCGCTCTCTTTCTCTCTCGAATAATGGACGGATTTGTTGGAAGACAGAGATTAGCTATGTTTGTATTATTATTGATCCATCAGTTTATAAACCTGTCTTAATTATGTTCTCAGCGAAGTCTTAAGGTCTTCTCAGCTCAACAGATTTGCATTACTTTTGTTTAGATTTTAATGCTGGCTCTGTTCTGTCCTCTGTTAAAGAGCTTGCTCTGTTTTGCTCTCTTTTGACACTCAGAGGTTATTACTCCATTAACGTGACTTTTGAAGTTTTAATGTTAAAAGTCGGAAACGAACTATTCGGGAACTCCCAATTTTACACTTTTTTTTATAACATATATAAGCAGGATACATAACTGGTGTTAGATGCACTGAGCTCATAAAAGCTCTTTCGATTTCTACAAATCTAGAACTGAAAATTCACACATAATTTATGGCGCCTTTTAATCAATTAAGAGTCGGCAGCAGCTAACGAAGACGACGACATTCTTCTTGCTTTCTTCTTCTTCTCCTCTGTATTCTCTGCAATGGTTTTAGCAAACGCTTCCACAAGTCGTTGTTGCGATTCCAATATCATCTTCGTCCTCTTCATCTCTGTCTCCCTCCTCATCGCTTCAATCTCTTTGGTCATCTCCATTCTCGTCTGCTCTGTTCTCAACAACGTGTCTCCCAGCAGTTTAATCGCACTCGCTATCTCCACCATCGGATCATTGTCATTATCATTTTCATCATCCTCCTCCGTCTTCATCATCATATCTCTCCCTCGTTTCCCTCCTCCTCCTTCAGGAAGTCTCGCAACCCTAGCACTGTAATTAGATCCTCCTGCTCCTAAACCACGACCAAGTCTCGGATTTGAACTCATACCGGAACCCGGACTCGCCGTGTATTTTTGATCAATCTTACCGGGAAATCTAGGACCTGCCTGTGCTATACTCACTCCAGTCGGTATCCTAATTCGAATTCCGCCGCTACTGCCGCTCCCTCCACCACCAGATCCAGCCGTACCATTCCTATTAAAGAACCTCGGCGTCGTCCTTGCCACTGAGCCTCCTCCTCCGCCGTTTTTAAACTGATAGCGAGCTGTGTAATTGCCATCGTCGTGATCCTCTTCTCCACTTTCGTTACCTTGTTTGATCTCTGGTCTATTCTCCATAGCTTCCATTCGCTTAAAATGAACCCAAGAAGATATAAACCTCGCCACCGGCACAGATCTAGCTCTCTGGATCTCAGTACGATACCTTTTCCGAAGCTTCTCCATCTTGTGACGGCACTGAACCGCAGTTTTCTTCGGCGTCACGTCGGGGCAACTAGCACCAACCGCTTCTGCGACTTCTTCCCAGTGATTCGCCTTGAGGTTTCCACGGTTGAGATCGTACCATTTGTCTCTGTACCCGTCAATAAGAGCGATCGTCTCTTCAAGAGACCAGCACGGCGGAGGTAACCGCCTAGAGTTTTTGGCCGCGGCGACGGGGACGGAAGCGCTCTTCAGATCTGCGACGGAAGCCGGCTCCGCTGAGTCATCGTCTTGAGCGGCAGAAGATAATGGTGGCGGGACGAGAGCTCGTGGGGAAGACTCGATCCGAACCGGTGATGGATCCGCAATTGGATCTTGGTTCATCGGAGAATCCGGATCGGACATGGGACGGGATAGATACAAATTCAAAATCCGAGAAATGAAGAAGGAAAATTGAGATCTCGTGAAGAAAGAGAAATGGCTGAGATGCGGATGACTTTTCGCGGCGGCGATTTCACGTAATATCGAGAAGATAAGGGAGGAGAGAGAGAGAGTGGAGGAGAGGCGTATGATAAAAGTTGGTGGCGGAGGATAAGGTTAGATAGAAGCGTAGATTAGCAGAGTTGGTAATAAAGGAAGGTAGCCATAAGCGGTGGTGACGGAGGGTGGTGGGGGGCACACCGTCGTGGACGACACGTGGAATAATAATGATATTTGGATCTGTGGAAAATAAAAAGAGAAAAAGCGGCTGATTTCGGGGATGAAGCCACCGTGGTCATCATGGTTGGAGGAGGCTAACGTGAGCCGTGAAACACGGAGCCGGTAGGTGGCGTAGGGTAGACTTGCGAGCCGCTCTTGCCGTTTATGTAACTGCTTAATTATGTTTTTGGCGTCTTCCTCTGCTTAATTGTTTTCTTCTTTTTCAGAGTTAGTCATTTACTATAAATCTCATTTATGGCCCTCTCATTAAACCCCATTTATTAAATTGGGCTTAAAATTAAATGGGCTAATATTTGTGAGCCAGGCCCATTAATTGTCATATACGATATAGTTATTTTAATTTTGGTATAAACCTCGTGTTAATTAAGCATAAGAAGTAAGGAATCTCCCGACAAACATGTGATGTGAGGACTTATTATCGAATCTCGATAGTGAAAGTGTGTTATTACACTAGCTTTTTCCTATTTTATTTGTACTAGCTTTTTCGTTTAGTGAGAAACAGCCAATTATTAAGCTTATTATTCGGTGATATTACATCTTTTTTGTTTTTTAACATCGAGTTGATATCAAGCTTTCATTGTTTAAATGGATTAAAAAAAAAAAAAAAAACTTTCATTGAGGTTCTTAATCTTATCTTCTGAGTAAAAGAGAATTATGCTCGAATAACATAGTTTAAAATTCAATAATTATTAAAAACACGGAAGGTATTTTCATGAGGCAGCAAACTTCAACATCACACATGCTCTGCTTACTATTATATATACAGGTGTCTGTACTTGTCTGAATGTAGGATAACCTAAATTAATAGATTTTGGATATTCCTTGGGACTCAAGAAAGGTGGAAAACAATGGACCACAGATTGTTTGATGCAGCTCGTACGGGAGACATAACAACACTCAAGTTGCTCCTTCAAGAAGATCCTCTGCTTCTCGAGCGTCTCTCTCTTTCATCTCCAGAGAATCCTCTCCATGTCTCTGCCTTCGCCGGCCAAGCCACGTTCACGGCGGAAATCTTGCGTCACAACCAAGGTTTAGCTCTGGAGCCGAACCTACAAGGGTTTAGCCCTCTTCACATTGCTTCAGCCTCAGGGAACATAGATGTTGTGAGAGTGCTCCTAAGTGTTGACTGGAAACGTGATGTCTGCTTCTTGAAGGACAAGGACGGTTTGATTCCTCTTCACTCCGCAGCGCAGAGAGGAAGAATCGAGGTCATACAAGAGTTGGTTTCGTCTTTCCCTGAATCCCTCAAGGAAGTAACCGCTTTTCATGAGACCCCTCTTCATGTCGCTGTTAAGAACAATCAAGTGGAAGCTACAAAGTTGTTGCTGGAAGAGATCAAGAATAGTAACATATCTTTGGGGATCGTTAACCAGGAAAATCGAGAAGGCAATACAGTCTTGCATCTTGCAACACTTGGGAAACAGCTTCAGGTAAGTAGTTTCTTCTTCTTAATTTACTCATCATTTACAAACCTCATCACATGAATCTTACACTTTTACAGGTTGTAAGAATTTTAACCTTTTTCTAAACTAAATTTTTCTCAATCAAGCTTTGATGTTTTTAACTATAGCCATACAATCTTTCTTAAAGAAACTGTACGTCACAGCTCAATCTCTTTTTTGTTCTTGCTAAAATATTTGAATAATGATGTTGTCTACAGATTGTAGAGATGTTGATAGGTGAGGAAGCAATAATCCGCGGATCGGTAGATGTAAATAAACAAAACAGAAGCTGGTTAACACCAAAGGATATTCTCGACGTGGTTATTGAGACCGAAGGAGGAAGTGTTTCTGAAATGTACAGAATTGTTCAAATCTTTCAGACAGCTGAAGCAAGGAACGCAAAGGAGAAACGTAAAGACCTTAAACCAATTGAACGTAGTAGAAATCCTTTTCGTATGATAAAGAAGTATCTGGACTACGAGATTAATAACTCGACACTTGAAAAGCGAGAAACTCTATTGGTTGTTGCAACACTCATAGCAACACTTACATTCACTGGAGTCCTTCAGCCTCCAGGAGCTTTCAGAGGTGAAGACTCTACTGGTGGTTCTGGCTCACAGAACAACACCACCAACAGCAACACGACCCCAAGCATAAACAACATTTTCGGTTCCAGGAACAGCACTGAAGGACAAGCAATCATGGCAGCCAGTACTGTTGACTTCACTCTCTACGCTGCCTTTAACGCGGTTGGCTTCTTCACTTCGGTTACAATGATCTCGCTGCTCACTAAAGGGTTCCCTCTGAGAAATTGGATAAGGCTTTGCATTATCTCAATTGTGGCTATTTATCTGCTTGCTATCGTCTATATAGCACCAAATGAGAAGATTTTTTGGCTGGTGGTTCTAGGTGTGTCGTCCATCTTGGTTCTTCGTGAGATTTTTCTCTTCGTCAAATCATTGCTTAATGCTTTTGGGACTGCAAGGCGTCTCTAACTTTCTTCTCAATTTAATTCAATATCTTTGTTGTTGTTTCTTTATTATATTTGCTTATGTATGATTGTGTGTGTGTTTTTTTTTTTTTTCATTTTGGTTATATTTTTATCAATGGTAAAATGTAATCTTTAAATGGTTTTTCTCTTATCTTTTTTCGTGCTAATTTGACTTTTTGAGATTTATAAATTAAAGAATTACGAAGACGTGTGTAGTTTTGAAAATGTTCTGTTTCTTTAGACTATAATGCTCTGACTTGAAAAAGTGAAGTTTTAAGCTCTTCAATGTTGAATTCTTGCAAGAAGGGTTTTTGACCTAGCCGAAAAGAATAGAGACATGGAGAAGAAGAATCCGTTAATGGAGGCTGCTCGAAATGGAGATCAATGGAATCCGATCCGACACTTCTCGAGGTTATTGTCATCAACGGCGAAGAAACGCCGTTACACGTTGCCTCCATGTACGGACACTTGAGTTTCGTCAGAGAAATCCTCAATATAAGAGAGAGTCTCGGGACAGAACTTAACAAAGACGGATTCACACCTCTGCATATAGCAGCATCCATGGGACACGTTGGAGTCGTGAGAGAGCTTTTGGAGAAGCTAAGTGGTGAGATCTGTATGATCAAAGGTAAAGAGAGGGGAATACCTCTTCATTACGCTGCTATGAGGGGAAGGGTTTGTGTTCTTGATGAGTTAGTGTCTGCAAATCCGGAGTCCCGTGAAGCAATCACCGCTCGTGGAGAGACAGTGGTTCATCTTGCGGTTAGGTTCTGCCAGTTCGATGGACTCGTTGTTTTGTTGGAACGTCTTAAGGAATTTGATAAGCTTTGTGTGTTGAATAAGCAAGACAATGGAGGGAACACGGTTTTGCACTTAGCTGTTCAAAAACGACTGTACGAGGTACCGATCAATCCCTTTGACTTATTTCTGTAAAGGAATTTGATTTTCAAGATTGTGCTATTTGGTTCTGTTCAGTTTAGTTTATACGGATTGTACACTGATATGAAACTGCAGGTGATTGACTTGTTGCTTGGCTCTAGAGGATCTAATTACACAATCCCCCGAGATTTCATTGAAGTGAACCCTTTAAACTCCAATGGCTTGACACCTCTTGATATGTTACTTCACTTTGGAGGTGAACCAGAAGATGCAGAGATTTATCAGATCCTCCATGAAGCAGGAGCTGTAAGATCAAGAGATATTGACACAAGAAAAGAAACAACAACAACAGAGAATAATGAAACAACACAGTCAGAAGAATCTCTGATGACGCACAAGCAATGGCTAGATTACTTCAAGTACAAGAAAAATAAAGTCTCGGCTAACGAAGTTCGCAATGTGTTACTGGTTATCGCGATTCTGATAGCCACAACGACTTATCAAGCCGTGCTAAGTCCACCTGGAGGTGTCTGGCAAGAAGATTACTGCATCAATGGATACTGTCAAGTAACTGATCTAAAAGGAAACAACTATAATGGGATCAAAGAGCTGGATCTCTTACGGCATTTTCATCTTCTTAAACTCGATAGGGTTTTTCACTTCGATGGAGCTAATCTCTTTACTCACAAAAGGTCTCCCTTTCTACCTTGAGCTGCAAGTTTCATTGACTGCTGTTGCCTTGGCCTATGGATTCGCAATGGCTGCACTTTCTCCCAACTTTGGATTAGGCTTGTTCTTCATGGTGCTTTCTGTAGTACTACCTATCGCAGTAGCGAAAATCCCGAGTCTGATCCGGAAACATGCCAAGAAAATCAGAATCTATCCTCTAAGAAGTACTACTACTACCACAACAACCTCATAAAATCCCAAGTTACAGTCTCAAATTCCAATTCCCATTTTTCTTTTTCTATATACTTAACTATCTTGATTCGTTTGTGTGATCTTGACTAGTACATTTGAAGAAACCTGAGTCAAGAAGTAAGTTTTTTTTTGTTTTGTTCTGTCAGTAACCATTGTTTGTAGAAGTTCTCTCACAAGTCACAGTCTCTTTAGCCTCTTTCAGATCAGCTATTTGAATGTAATTTCTTAATCGTTACACTCTGTCTCTGCTCTGCACATGTTCTTTTGTTCCCTTTATAGAACCAGAAACAACAAATCTTATTCACCAATCCCAATTATTGTACCTTCTATACTTATTATTACCCATATTTCTGATCTGACATGGGTAAAAATTTGAATACTAGACAAAACAAAACATAAACAATCATAACACACACACATATATATATAATATCTCCAGTTATATAAGTTTAGAGGGGTCACTACTAGTGACATTTAAATTCTTTAGCCAGCCAGTCTGTAAAGATGTATTATCCCATCTGTCCACATCTATATTACTAATTATATTACAGAGATATATATAGAGAGAGAGATTGAAGGTAGAGAGATAGACAAGAACTCACTGGTTTGATTTTTGGATTTCTTATTTATGATCTTAATCGGAGATTGATTAAGACAAGATAAGAGGCCCTGCCGACTAATCTCTACATCATCTACAACTACACAATTCATAATAATATATAAAAAAAAGGCGAAAATGTTTTGGAAAAGAGACAAAACAAAAAGAAGAAAGATTGGAAGATTTGTTTTTTGGAAGTTTGTAGTGAAACTCAAACAGCGAGTTGCTGTTTCTGATGAGAAGCTTCATCGTCGTTGAAGGTAATGACAGATCTTGATGATGGGACAACAACGAGAGAGAGAGGTTGAAGAAGAGTCATTTCCTTCTGAAGATAAGAGAAGTAAGCGTGGAATGTGTTTGGCGTCACGTTTAATTCAAACCCTAACCCGAATAAGAAGTCCAGCTCCAGAAAGTTCATCTCTTTCGTGCTTATTCCTCCCACTTTCGCGTAATACGCATTGTTGTAGTACCTGTTTCAAAATTCATCAAAATTCATATTCAGGGTTTAGTGACTCAGTGTCATGTCAGAAACTTTATAAAAAGTTGTATCTTTAATTTGCATAATCTAAGGCCTAGATTTTTTTCACAGGACGAAACAGAGAAGCCATAAAACAGGGGAATTGATTGATTGATTGATTGATTCATCATTATAATGTCTAAACCAAACAAAAATTCAATTTTCACTGTTAGTATTCAATCTGTTGTCTAGAAAAAGCAGACTTGTATCAAAAATTTGAAACTTTTGAGATTTAGACAAAAAAATCAAGAAACAGAGCATTCATGAAACAGGGGATTGAATGATGATGTGACAGATTTTTTAACTGTGGTAGTGAATTGTGATGTTCAAACCTTGGTTAAGAAGCTCAAAATGTCAATGCTGAAAAGAAAAGAACAAATGAGAAAACTTACAGATCATCGAGGAACTTAGCAGCGACCATGACACTGGTGATGAGGAGACGATGAACGTTAAAGGAATTGATGGGGAGTGAAGGTTGTCTGTGAGTGAAACGGTCGAGATAAACGTAAGCCACGACGAAGCAAGAAGGACTACAATTAGCGTATTTGAAGATCCTCTCGAGATAGCTCTGAATCGTTATGGTTGGTCTACTCAGTCCATGGAACACCGATACCCTTTGTGACTGAGTCGTCACTCGCCTGGTCTGATCGTTTGACTCAGCAACTCGCTCTAGCAATGAGGATAAGAATGCTATTAGCTTCGACATTACACTTGGATTCTCAAGTTCCGCCATTTTTTTTTTTTGTGTGTACGAAAGAGAAAGAGAGAGAGATATGAAGAAGAGAAGAAGGGTCTTCTCGTTGCTTTTGCTCTGTTGTTAATGGCGTGTGTTTAAGTTGGTCGTTATATTGGGTAGTTATTATGTAATTTTTTCATTTTTATTTCAGGAAATAAGTGTAAGTTCTTTTTTCTTGCTGGTTTTATAAAATCGGTAGGTGTTTTATTTTTTATCCAATTTAAATTTTAGGAATGTGTCCCTTTTGAATTTTTCAATTACTCAATTGTTGTTCTATCACCGTCGGCGGTGGAACCAAAAATAAATAAATAAATAACTCATTAGTATATGGAACAAATAAGGAAAAGTGGGGTTTTTATTACATAATTTGGGTTAATGATTATTGAATTTGAAAACTTAAGTTCTAACAAGAGGGAAACCTACACATTTAATGCAATAATTAAACAAGACACATATCAAATTGAAGGAGATAAACATACGTATCCTAATTAATATTTATGAAACTATATATGTAATGTGATTAATTTGGTATAATTCATTCATACGTAAGAAAATAGATTATTATGTGTGTCTTAATAGTTTGGTTTGTAATATTGTGTGGGAGATGGGATCCCATACTCATCATGTTACATGACATGTGAGGGAAATTTATTTAAATTAGAAAGTCACGATATATAGTAGTGATCTAACGAAATGCATGTGTTTCTAATAATGTGTGAATCAATTCCCATCTGGTAACATCAAGTTTAATTCTTTTCTTTATAATAATTAATCCTCCCTAAAAAAAAATATTGATCATTGTTAGCAAAATATATGAATATATAAAGACATGAATACATAATGTAGATCGATCTAAATCTAAGATGCAAAGAGGGACAGCTAACTTGGACGCATTTAGACAAAGCTCTAATTAAGAAGAGCAAACCCCAAAAGTTAAAAAGAGAGAAAATAAAAAGATTTCACGTTACGATCTTGTTTTTGCTTTACAGGAGGATATGTCAACTTGTGTGATCAATTTTGATCTTCCCTTTGGAACGTTTCAAATTCAATCTTGTTTTGCTTCCGTTTAATGATAAAAACAGTAAAAGATTTATGATACTGTATAAAACATAACTATATGATAATTACTAGATTATCACATTTCCAAATACTGAATCTCTCTACCTTCTTCTTTTTTTGGGTACAGATATACAGTTTTCATGTTATTATAACTTCACGATACATGCATTGCTATATGTACAATTTCGTAATCCAATGAACAACCGATGCATTTATATCGTTAGTTACTCCAATCATGAACTGCAAACTGATGAAGTGGACATAATTTTTACTACTACCACAAGTCTACAAAGGTTCTTGTATAATTTCTTGTACCATCATTTAATTTATATTGGGTCTTTGTATGATGCGAGCTAGTAGTACTGATCGTATACATTTGATTAGTACCTGAACTTACAATAAATAAATAAATAAAACTAGAATTAATTAAACATGACAGCCAGGTTAGATGATAACAGTGATTGGGATTGGAGTGATGAAAAAGTAAAGCATGTCTCGTGAGAGAACCAAGAATAAAAATAGTCTTTAATTTATATTTATTTTTAATCGTAGTACGTACGTAGTAATACAATTTTTGGGGATCATCAATAACTGCGTAACGTGTCTCTCGCTTCTCGTATCTTTTTCATACCCAAATTTCCATGTGCTACTCCATGTGACCCTCTCCCCCCATCTTTCATATATACTCTCACTTCTTCCAATTATTTTCAATAGTATAATTTAAGCTTAATCAAAAGATTAGTTATATAAAAAAAAAACAACTAAAAACGATTATATAATTTGCAATATTTACGTTTTAAAATAGATTTAATATTTGATATATAGTCTATGCCTAGTCTAGTCGATGAATAAGTTGTCTTTGAATCATAGAAAGGATGGACCACATTTCTTGGTTGCATTGCATGTACAGTTTTTTAGAATTCTGAACTCGTTTGTGAATTTTAAGTTTATTTTATTCGAAAGACGCATTTATTTTTTTCTATATAAGCCAATTCTTTTTTTCAGAATATTATATTTAAATCATACCAAACCATATTATTTTGTTGTTGAATATTTTATGAAGATTTTTATCAGACCAATCCATTCTTATTTTGGTGGGTCTAACTATTATCCATTGCATCTTAAATTGCATACGACATTTTTGTTACAAGTATCTCTTCTAAAAAATAATAAACCACTTCGTGGAAAAATCATAAAACCAATCGTTGTGGTTTAGAAATTAGAATGAGAAAAAAACATAGTCGTTGTTGTTGCCTTACACAAAAGGGCCCAAGAAGCAATTATTTTCACGTCATGATCAAAGAGGGACAAAGTTACAAATTGTTTTTTCCTTTTACCGTTTCAAGATTATCTTTTGAGCTAATTATGGGCCTAACTCGGGCCGTTTATTGAGTATGTTTCTACTTTCCTAAACCCAAATGGTAAAAAGAGAAAGTATTTGTAATGGTTGATCCAAGAAGGAAAAAGTAACAAATCTTTTACTATTTTTTTGAAGAAATATCTCTTTTACTTCCCCCAATAACAAAATATAAGAGAAACTACTGTAATGTTGATCCAAGAGAAAACAAAAGAATGATCATAATAATGTTTGAAATAATGAAGATATAAACCAAAACAAATCTAGACATCAGATCATAAATCTTTCCTTTTGTCCCTCAAGGTTCTTCCATGCATGCATGATATATGCCATGATGTTGCTATTGGTTGAGGGAATCAATACCCTATGATATTTTTCATACTAAAATCCAAAAGATAAGAAGAAGAAAAATACTTTATGTTTCTTCCACTTTAATTTTTCAATAAAGTTTATTATTCCATTAAGATCATAATATAACTGAGAAGTGTTAACGGATCGTGTAATTAGAGGTGGACCAATATAGTTACAAAAGGTGAAGGAGGTGTCAGGGCACAAAATAGGTGGCTTACTCAGTTTACTCACACTCCACTCGTGTCTGGCACACATGATAAGCAGCAAGTCACGAGCCCTGACTCGGTTTCAGCGAGTTGGGCGATCGCCATTTAATATGCTTTTTACCATCATCTATAAATATGTTCAAGTGACTATCTCATTGTATAATCAAATCAGGTTCTATTCTTTATTAGGCTTCTTACGATTTTTTGCACTAAGTAGAGTGAATAAAGAGAATGTTGTCTATAATATTTGACTTGGTTCTCACTTACAATGGCCACAATGCATTTGCCTCGTTCAAGAAAGAAGGTGATGATGACGACGATGTAGTCTACGATTACGCTCCGGCTGCATGATTCAACCATCTAAAGTTATAGGTTATAACATCTTCATTATTATATACGCGAGACTCGAGAGAGAAAGAGAGAGAGGCCTTTCTAGGTAGCTAGATAACCCTAGTTAATATAATATGTGATCTATATTGTCTATAGACCATGTGCTAGGTTGGCCTAGCTAGCTAGTGTTGTTACTACTTGTCGTTGTGACATTATCATAAACTATTTTTGACCTTTGTTCTTTTTGGTTTTTTCTTATGGCTCATATATATATAACGAGTTATAACGGGTCTACAATGTTGAGTTGTGGACTTTTAATATTTTGTTGACGTTGCAAAAATCTTATGATATCTTCCCCTTGATCGACTATTTTAAACGTAAGTTGAATTTGTTTGTCTTAAGTTTTTTTTTTGGTTATGTGTCTAATTTTGAGCATAAAACGCGCGCAACTCATAACTCTGAATGGCTAAGTAAAGTTCATTTAACTCTGATCAAAACTACTAAAAATCGTGTGTAGTTTTTTTCTTTACTATTTTGTTAATTTTCTATTAAAATCAGATTTGGGAAACATATAACATGTTTACATAAACCTTCGTTCGAGTATTCATTTTTCCTATTGAAAAAAATATGGTCAAGCACCTATATAATGTGGTATTCATCTGATAACTACATTTTGCTTCAGAATCACTTTAACAAAAACTAATTTCTTTCCATCGCGACGAAACTAAAAAAAAATCTATCGCACTTAAAGTTTGTAACCAAACCAACTACCAATGTCAATATATATTGTTACATATGCATGTATATTATATAGTCTGTAAGCAACAAAGTCAAGAATATGTGTATAGTATATGTGGACATATTTTATCAAAAAAATAATATCTGTGGACATACTCATGAAAGAAACACATGCAATATCAGCTAGGCAAATATATCACACATCTGTATGTGCAAATATATATGTATATAGCTCTGTCTATATATAAATAACATATTTATTTGTAGAGAGAGAGGTTAAAAAGAAGAGATACAATCATGGTCAGGAGAAGTGGAGTCATCAGAGGGAATGTGGTTGTGGCGACCTTCGTATGTAGTAATCACCATTCTACAATCTTCCGACAGTCGCTCCACTCTCTTCTTCACCCTACAGTTGTTGTGTGTGCATCTGTAATAACTCCTGTATAACATATTTATTTGTATTACATGTACATACATCATTATATTATAGTCATAGACACATTAATTAACCATACGAAAAAGAGGAAATTAACAAACGTGTGAAAGTTATGCAAAAATATAGTTGGGCATATGTGTAGATCACATGGCACAATAAAAAAAATAAAAATAGAAATAGAAATATTGTCTGCATTCTTAATGATGACATCCCTCGAGGGACGTACGATACGATACATACTAAAACTGCAACCTGCGTACAAGAAATATTCTAAATATGAAAATACTTATGTATGTATGTATGTGTAAGAAGGCATATATAAACAGTCATGTCTGGTACTTGTTCCACATGAGTCTAACTAAAGAGAGAATATTATGATGCACCCAAATTAAGTTCCTTACCTCAGCTTTTACGAAACTATCAATCATGCATCAATCAATGTGATTATACGAGTATCGCTAAGTAAGCAAAAGTTAATTAATAGGGTTGATTAATCAGTGACATATATGTGTTAAAAATACCTAGGGTGAAGGCTGTTCTTGACGACTTTCTGACCATATTTACGCCATTTGTAGCCATCGTCGAGAACATCAACGTCGCTTTTCGTTTGGAAACAGAATCTTGGCTCTCTTAGTTTCCTCCTTATCTTCACTTTGTTCTTCATATCTATACTCCCACTACTTGATCTCCACCTGCAAAAGAAATAACTCTGGTGTATTAAAAACGTTATTTATACTAGTAGGTTTAATCTGATATCATAAGTTTTTGGGTATGCAATATAGAGTTCATAACTCTTTTGAAACTCAACATATTGCAAAGGGAAATGTAAATTTAATAGAATGTTGAAGATTATACCCAAAACATTCGAGAGAAAGAAAAAAAAAAGATAATCTTAAAATGAAAAATTAACTAATATATAACTCTCTTGATTATTAATTTTTGAGAAAAATGAAAAGACGTAGAAAAAGATTCATCTTAAAATCTAGCGAGGTAAATTACCAAGAATTAGAATGAGCATCGTTGTTAGTTCCTCCTCTAAAATTCTCCTGATCATCATTAACCACCTTTGGTCCCAAGGGTCCTCCACCCTACAAAGAAATCATATTAAACTTTCCAAATTAAGATCAATCAATAGTTAAAGTATACAATAAATTAATCAAGATCATCACATATATATAGTATACATATGTATATATATATATAGAGAGAGAGAGAGAAGAAAGACCTGATGAAGATGATTAGAAAACCCTAGAGGTGCATGATGAGAAGTAGTACTAGAGGAAGGGTTGTGAATGGGGAAAGAAGGAGAAGAGAGAGAAGAGGAGGAAGAAGAAGAGAAAAAGGTTAACACATTGGTTTCTTCAAAAGGGATGAGGAAGTTCATATTCTCTTGATGAATCGTCGTCGTCGACGATGTTACTTGGTGTAGATCGTAATTATTGACTACTCTTCTTCCTCCTGATCCTCCTACTCCTTCCATTGTTTTTATTCTCAAATCTTTCCTGTTCTTTTTTTTTTTTTTTGTTGACTATTGTGTATCAGTTTTAAATAGTGTATGACACTTATTTTTTCCCATAAATATGATTAAAGTTATAAATGTTACTTTGACGGTTTATCTTCTCTTGCTTTCATATAGAAGGGTAGGGTTTCGTGTGTAATGTCCCCCACACGTGTCAAAGACCCTCCAAGCATATCATTTGTACCATTCGTGTCTTTGGCAGTCAACTTCATGTGAAGTGTTCTTTAATGTTTGTAAATTCAAATTACTAAAAAAAAAACTAAAATCATCTATTCCATAATATATGTTTTATAAGCTTTCGGCCTAGTTTCCGACGATTCTACAATATATATTTATTAAATTTGTATATATTTAATCAGACAATTAACGAGACTACTTTCATTTATTTAAGCAAGTGTAACTTTGCATCATTAAGTAAACCTAACCATTCCATAATGAGGCCAAAAGAAGGTTTGGAGTTTTGGACTATTATTATGATCAGCTTTCTGAAGCAACCTAGGAAGTTTAAATGACGTAGAGATTTATCTTAGTGAATTAACAAATTTGGGACGTTTTCATTAATCAAGGGACACAATTTTTCATTTTCACATGACAATTTAGAGAGATAGGGAGAGAGAGAGAGAGAGAGAGAGAGAGAGAAAGATGTCAAGAAGGCAATCGAGTGTGGTGGAGGTACATCAAAGCTTCCATCCATCTCAAGATGTGTCCTAAAGCTGATGATGGAAACGACACCCACAAAAGTTACCCTCTCTTCCCAAATCATGTCGAATCCACCTTCCTACTTTTATTTTTATTTTTATTATTTTGGTAGTAAATTTAATCCCAATAATTTTCATTAGAATTTATATTCATCGACACGATTAGTTAATTGGGTAAATATATAATTGATTGATCATTTAAATCCGATTACTGTATCATCATTCTTTGTAGATTACTACTAACTTAGCTAAATGTAATAATAATCATCGTCACATAATAACTGTCTTTTCAACATCTGGTCTGTAAAAAAAAAGGGAATATATTTTCTAACGGTGATAAAAAAAACATACAACAACACATAAACACCCCAAGAAAAGAGCCGGCCAACTTCCTCCACAATAGCAACACAAAGCAACAACGACTCATTAAAAAAAAAAAAAAACATATAGAATAGCATTTTTTAATCTTCTTTTTGACAAAACCACATAAAAACATGATTGAGATTAGATTAAATTTTACTTTCTTATTTTATTTTACACCGGTCCAATCTATTCCGTAATTAACTATCATTCTAAGGAGGAACACTTTCTCAAGTAATTAGATAGCCATTACCGGAACTATAATATAACCCATTAGTTTATTAATCTTATTCTTACCGAAGTTACCGACACCAAGAGTATTATTGTTGGTTTTCAGGTTAGAAGCATGGCTCAATCAGTTTCAAAAGCTAATGACTTCTAGTTTGTTATTATATGAAAATGATCGGTGTACTTAATATGAAACTAATGTATATTGTATGTTAGATATGTAAACAGAATCACAAATGAACATTGATTAGATTATTATACTAATAATAAGATTATAGATTAATTAAGAAAAGAGACAAAGAGAGGCATATATGAAAGGTATAATAGGGGGATGAATTCCATGCAACAATGATTACACGTTTCAATCAAATCCGTAAGGAAGTTTTCATTTTTCCAAATTTAATGATGGTCAGATTTCTCCAAAGGCATCTCTCTCTCTCTCTCTCTCTCCCTCTTTTCTCTCTTGTAGGTTCCCACTTTGTCTCCCCCTTCCATTCTCTCCTTTCGTTTTCTCTTCTTCTTTTCCTTTTTCTTTTACTTCGTCGAGCTTCTCTGTATATATGTTACCGCTAAGAACTTTTGTATTTTTTATATCTAAACGTTAGTTTAGAAGAAATGTTATCAAACACAAATGGAGTTTAACATTCGTTACTACTTATGGTTTGTTTACGGATTCTGATATCAGTTTTTTGACTTGAGGCCCAATTGTGGATAATTATCCAGCTAAGCTAACAGAGGAAGTCATGAACTTTTGAATATGATGATCCAGTGGGTAATAAACTCTACCTCCATTTTTTACTTCAGGCCCAATTGATCTATCAAGCAACATACCAAGTTAGCTATAGGTCAGAAGAAGTTCGATTAACTTTCTCCGGCTGAACTTTACGCCGCCGGCATAAGTACGGTGGTGACATCATTTAGTTAAAAAGAGACAATTTTATTGCTATAATCAAACGTCGGCTACTGATACTTATATGTACTAACGAGTAAACACTTCAGTCTGAAACAGAGGATTGTTTTTTTACTTGGGCTCTTCTGTCCATCTTCTCTTCATTTCGGATTTGGATCTAACTTCTCTAAGATTCCCATCCAAACCATAATCTCTCTCCATCACTAGATTGATTCCTTCATCTGAATACCATCCAACTCCAACGCACAACACTCCGTCTTTCTTCACATCCACGTACGCAGTCACACCACCTGGGAGCCACATCACCGACACATCTTGCATGTCTATCATCTCTTCCTCTCCAAATGACACAGATGTCTCCGGTAAATTCCTTATCTTCAGGGCTTCTGTGCACAGGTACACAACTGGAGTCCTTTCACCTGGCTGCTCGAATTCTGCTTCTTCTCCATAGATTGGAGTTGCGCTTACTTCAAATACTTTCCATGATCCTGTTAGCTCTGATGGTTGAATACGTTTCCTCTGCGAGAATGGTTTTAACTCCAGTGGTGCGTCGTTGTCACTGAGATATGGACCATTTAGGGTCAGAGACACTGACATACCAGAGAGAATAATATAAATAACAGGTCGTAGTTACCTTTGTTCTTCATAATTTGAAGGACTAACCCACTGTTCCTCATAAACACCAACTCTCATTATCTGTATATCTGCGCCACCATTGGCGAATTCTATTGTGTGGACTACTCTCAGTCTCTTATGGCAACCCTTCACCAAACACTGGACAACAAGAAGGAGCTATGACCCTATTTTCTCTTAAAATGTGGAAAAGGACCGAACTTGAGAAATTTAAATGGCCCAAATAGCCGTGTACCTGTTCGAACTTGAAAGTTGGTGTGAGGTAATAGTCTGATTCACTCGCCTCCCCAACAGGGATTGTAACAGGACCTCTGGAATAAGATCCATCCTGCGTATCAAGCAACTGGAAACATTAAGGAATGAAGCGTAGACAATGCACAAAAACCGATTCTCAGCCCACCACCAGAAAGACAATAGCAATATCCATTATCACAGCCAAAAGGAGAATGGGAGCTAGAATAGTAGCTTCCATGAAAATTATGTAAGAGATGATCAAACAATGGTTCGAAGATTGAGCCATACCTCGAAGTAAACGAGGCCAGGCTGGTCTACCATAGAATCCTCTTCCATGACATCACTTGCTTTCAAGTTAAAAGATTCAAACTTTGGCAAACGGCTATCTACACCAGTTTGATCAACCAATGTCTCCTCTTTACTCTCACCAATCTGGAAAAACTCTCCATGAGGATTCAAAGTAACCCAATTGATCTTCCTCTGAATTTCAGAATCTGCAGTAGCAACTCCAGAATAAGATGGCAATGCTTCAATCTTGGAAAGAGTATAACAATCATAAAGACTCTCGTTCTTCTTCCCAATTTCAATCGGTTCCATCTCTGCAGTAATTGGCGAGAACACAGCTCCTACACCTTTCCAAATCCCACTTACACTACTCGCAAATGTCCTCCAAATTGGCTTAATCACAGGTTCCTAAAACATCAATTCATCAATTTCAGTCACAATATAGCTAATTACGCAGACGGATTTGAGAAACTGAAATCTGAAAATTGAAACCTCGGTTTGAAGAACAGTCTCAGATTCGATCAACATCGTCCCCGAAACCAAAACTCTACCATTTATACCCTTTCTTCCGCCACCACCTAACTTCTTCCCTCTTCTTCTTCCCTTCGGCTTCACCTTACGCTTATCCATCTCCGCCATTTCGTTATCAACGCTCCATATATTCTCTTTCTTACCTTTCAGAGTCAATTTCCCTTTATTTCCCGTCGGGCGGCTATTTCCGTCGTTTGGTCTTGAGCCTTGCGCCACGATTTTTCTCCCGTCGACATTGTTTCGCCGCCGGAAATTGCAGACTGAAGGAACAAGCAGAGCATTTTGAAATCCAAAGCATAGATTGTGGTTGTGACATGCAAGTGGAGAAGAAGACGTGAAGCTTTTGCTGATATGAAGAGATGGCGTTTGCATCGTTCGTTTTCTGGAGAATCATATATCGAAGAAGAAGAAGAAGATGATGATGAGAGAAACAAAATTTACAAATCTTCGATCGCGTTGAAAAGCAAGAGGATAATAATGGGCCGTTATTATAGAATTAGGCCCATAATCTTTAGAAATATATAAACCTATGGAACAGGCGTAGGCCCATAATATTTAACATCGGCTAGAACAATTGTGTAGAGTATATGATCCTAGTTCCTAGATAGAAATATCAATACTTCTATAGCATCTTTCTTTTTTCTTTTGCTTTTTTTTGGTGGGAAAGTAAAATGTGATTGGCTAGGAAGATTACTGGTGATCGACGTTTCCTTTAAGGCCGACAAAGTTAATGGACCACGAGGTGTTTTTTAAAAGTAGTTTTTTTCTTTCTATCTTTTTTTAGCTTAAAAGGTGTTATGATGACTTTTTCAATCTCAATTTTTAAACCAAAGTTTTTTTAATAACTTTATCGTGTACTAAAATAATCAAGAATCAATCTCGATTATTAATAGTACTAATACATGCATACTGGAGAGATCAAGACATTGAAAAACTATAACATTAAGACGAGCTTTTCGGATTGGTGGTTTTCTATTTTCTAATAAGTTTTTGAAACTATAAAATGATGCATTGGCGAATGAAGCATGACCAGAGACAAAGGTCATCGGAAAGTAGGTTTTCTTTCTTTTCTTGGAGTGAAGCTAAAGGAAAGTAATCAATAAAAACACATTTAAAAAAAAAAACA